CAATGAAATTTAATAAAAGTTATGGGGTTAAAAGAATGTGGAAAAATCCTATTTTTCTAATTATTGTTGATTTTACTACCAGATTTTTTTCGGCAGATGTGGTTTGTGATAAACAAATGAAAAAAATAATTAAAATGTTTGTTTTGTGCTCAATATCAACCTTCAGTGTTCCTAAAAACTTGTTGCCAGGCAATGGTTTTGAATTTAACACCGCCAAGATGTGCCAGTTGGGTGGGGCAAAATAACAAGTATGTCAGCTGAAAGTCCCTGAAGCAAAGGCATTTGCAAACAACTGAATGCCATAATTGATAACATGGTCAGATTCTTACAGAATAGTACTGATATTGCAATGCTCATAATGCTTTGTTAAATTTTTTGCTAGATTTTCAACTGATCAGTTAATTATTGGATTGGATTAAATATTACAGATCTAGATGTTTTTCAAAGTCATCTCCTCCAGCATTGGAGAAAGTTTCTTCATCAATCATGGTTACAGATAATTTAAGTGTTATACAGGCTGCAAAATTTATCATTGAGAATCTAATAAGAAAATTGTGTGCATTAAAAAGTAATACTGAAAATAATATGGTTGAGACATTGCCAAATGACAATGATTGATTTTTTTTTTTTTTGTACAGCTTATCAACCATTTGTATGTTATTTATAACTGAAAGAATAATTCCCAGTTTGGTGAGTGAATATTACACTAATTTTTTTTTTAAGATACTTATTTTTCCAAATATAATTCCTACTATTTAACCCATAGTTGGAGGGAGGATCCAAACCTTTCCCAATCTATGGGAAATGATTATAAGGAATGGTAAATGAACAAGACTGGGAGGAACCTGGCATGGTAATTGGACAAGAATGGTAGGGACCTGGCATGGTAATTGGACAAGAATGGTAGGGACCTGGCATGGTAATTGGACAAGAATGGTAGGGACCTGGTGTGGTAATTGGAATGACATGGACCTGGCAAGGTAATGGGCAAGAATGGTAGGACTTGGTATGGTAATTGAACCAGATGAAAAATTAATCTTAGTGCATCATGGGAGTAATATTTCATTAGTATTCACAGTAAAGCCCACTTACATTTATTATTATTTCGATGTTAAATCAGAATCAAGTGGTATTTCAAATTGGAATGAATACTGAATAATCAGCAGAACATCATTATCTTCACCTGATGGACAGTTCTACTATAAATGATGCTTCTTACTTAGAATGTCTATTGTGACTGGGTTCTGTACAACCTCATTCAATAATGCTCTACCTTAAGTGGCTCTTGCGCCTTGTATTGAGTGAAAAATAATAAAACAAAATAAGTAGTCCAATTTGATAAAGTGGAATGCAATGAAGAACTATCAAAGAGAAATAAAGTGGTATTTGGACAAAAATTTTGAGAAATGAATTCTTATAAAAATACCATAGAAACATGTGAGCTAAGAACAAAGAAACTTATACTTACAATCAGAAAGATGAAATCTCTTGTATACATAATGAGGAGAGAAGGTTTAGAGAATTTAACACTCATAATATATACTGAAAAACCAAGAGGAGCAGATGGAAACAGCAAGTAATGAACTTGAGTTTCTATAAATGGATGGACAAAGAGGGATGTCAGAAGGTTACTTGGAGGCACAAAAGACAGGAAGCTATGGAGAGCCATGTTCTGAGCTAAAGTTCTGAAAAAAACTTGGCATGTAAAATAAAGACTTGAATATATTTCTGGCATGACATTGAGTAAAAGTGGGAAAGCCACTGACAAATATAAACACTGCTAGAATTTCAAATAATCAGATGGCATTGCTGGTTGGAAGGATTTGAATAAACTTAATGATGGGTCAATTTAACCTGGCAATTTGGATGTCGTCGTGATGTTTAACAGCAATGAAATTATGGCAACAGAGTTAAATTAAGAACTGCAAAGATAATTATGTGTCCAATGAAAGTAGAAGATCAAGGTCAAAATGTGAAAGGAATAATTGCTGAAAAGATGGCAAAATAAATAAGTTGAATTTTGGAGTTTTAGTTCTTTACCTTGTCCTAAGTGGAGCTGGATTCAAAGAGCAATATGCTCAATTCTAGATAACCAATTTCAAATTGCCTGGTAAAACTGTCTTTGTAAACCAATGACTATTGAATTGTTACTATTCTTTTGCCTGCTTAATCTTGAAAATTATTTCTTTAAATTCATGATACCTTAATGCAAAGTAATGGTTCACAAGCTTATCTTTCAAATCATAATAAGGGTAATACTAGCTGTTTCCTCATAAGGAATTATTCATTGACTGTGCAGTCAGTGTTACTCGAGTTACACTTTAGTCCCTGGCCATTGAGCTGGGATCAAAGTGTAGTATCTGTCCTCCTCATCTTTAATTATAATGGTAATATTAGCCATTTTCTTATTAGGAAACTTTCAGCATTCATTGACTGAACAGCCAGTGCCACTAAAGTTATGATTTTCTTCACTCCTTGGCCATCTGTCTGGGATCAAAGTGTAGCATTTGCCTTCAGGTGGATAATCTAAATTTTATCTCACAATTGTGTTTCTGTCTTCGGACAGAGCATAACACAGTGGGCTGAAGAGCAACACTCACCCATGGAAGAGTTCTCACCCAGAGGCAGGCGATGCAAAAGTATACACAGTCATGCAATGTGACACAATTTCATTTGAGTTCTACATACAAGTCCAAGACAAAGTCCCCACAGCCACGGTCATGCAGGAAGAAAAATTCTTCAAATGTTCTTGGTGCCATAGAGAAGGTAATGTTGCAGGCTTCTAAGCAATAAACTGCCTGAGGGCACTTGCTTGGCACCCACATCTCACCCAATGCATGGAAGCATAAGAGAGCAACTGGAACAGATACTACACTTTTATCCAAAGCTAAATTGCTCATTAATACATGTATAATTTGATCATTTTTATGGGTACTATCCTGGTCTACTGTTTCAGACTTCAATATCATAAGCTAACAAACATATGGTCATCATTTTAATACTGTAACTCTCAGGCCCAAAGGGGGTTAACAAATCCGTCAGCAAATTTGTCACTTTTTTCATTAGGTTACCGACAACATTTAATTCTTATGAACACATAATTTTCTATAATGAACAAAACAGTCCTTTTGTCACCTTTTTCAAATCTTCATTCTATTATTAAAATCTAAAAACAAAAATCTGTAAATGAAGTAAAAAGGTCAAAGTACTTTATTACTATTTACTTTTGATGAAAGCATGAACGTAATTCTACCTACTCTGTCCCAATCATTAGCACATCATAATTGTAGCCAAAGGAAAATGTTCGATGGGAAAAGGAGTATATGAGTAATCTATCTCCAACTATTACATTCTTGATTCTCAGTTAGGCCAGTAATTACTCCTTGGAACTGATTAACATGGCCTGTTACATGCAATGTAAATGCATTGCTTACTACATGATACCTGGAGAAAAAAATTGCATTGGTAATTAACTTTTATTACTGTGAAGGACAATTTCACACCTGCATGGTATTCCTATCTGCAAGAATATAGCTTTCACACAGCTCTGCATGGTACCTCATGTATAAGAAAGTAACTTATATATTTGTTTCTTATAATGTAGATAATGTCATCCGTTTTTAAATATGACCATGTCTTTCTGGAAGTTCTTGTCTTCACCAAACCACTATTTAATTATTTTTCTATGCAAATGTCTTGGAGTTCATCATGTAGCATGTGATTCACATCAGGAAATATCAGATGGTTGGAATCTAATGTTAATAAAGAAGTTGATCTGTGATAACTCCAATATATAATGGGTCAACCCTAAGAGATACTATTTTGTTAGAAACAAAAACTAATGTGAATACAGTCTGTTAATATACCATGTGTAACATCATCGGATAATTATCCATCCCACAAAATGTTTAATATTGAAGATAAGAAAAAGAAAAAAAAAAAAAAACTCTAAAGATAAAATGTTTAGCCATCTCAATAACATTTGTCATAACAATCACTGAAAAACTCTTCATATTCTTCAGCTAGAAAGAGTACAGGTTAAATTCATTTTGTTTCAGCCCTATGTCTTCCCAACTGAGCAATGGTGAGAGGAAAAAGATCATTCAGGCTTTTAGTAATGGTACCAGTATTCATACACTGGCTTCCATCTTCAAAGTCTATTCAAGAACCATCAAGAGAATAGTGAATAAGTTTAAAAAAGAGGGAACAGTAGAGAGGAAATCTGAATCAAGAGGTTACACCAGCAAGAGGGGGGTCATCATTTCAACTTAGAGCTAAATACATTCTTATTGTTTAAAGTAGAGTCTAATAGTGTTATAAAAACCTCAGAATTCCAGTAAGATATCTTTAATCATTTCTAAGATACACCAGTTCAAAATTAATCTAACAATTGGAAAATTTTACTGTTACACCTAGTAAGTTTAATGTGACTCATGCCAGAAAATACCAGGTTACTTGAAATGAATTTAATATCAATAAGCGACTTGTTCTAAAAGAAGTAGATCCGTGGTGATCCTAATATATAATGGGCCCACCCTAAGAGATAATTCTTGTTTAAAAAAAAAAAAAAAAAAAAAAAAAAAATAGTAATGTGAATACAGAGTGTTAGTTGATATCAGAATAGTCTTAGCATCAAATAAGCTTAGTACATCAGTGGGATGACATAAAAGATGTCCTAACAACGAGGTGCAGATCCATGCCACACAGACCCGACATGTCAACATGTGGTTAACCTGGTTGCACCTAGAATGTACACATGTTGACTATAGATTAGGTAGATATATAAGCACCAACCCAAGAGAGAAGAAAAGTCTGTCACATCTTGGTGAGATGTAGAATCCATGTTTGGAGAAAACTCCAAAGCCAAAAGTAATTAAAAGTATAGAGTTGAATAAAATGTAATATCATGAATGAAATTTGTTTTCATCATGCATGAACATAACATTACAAATATCGTACAAAGATTAGCGTTTCTTTGAATTCATCTGACAATCATTAAACTACGCACCAAGGCATGTGAAGTTTTGCAAACAGTCATTTAGCATCATGCTCACATAGATGAAGAGAAATAAAAATGCAGGTATACCAAAACTGAGCTCTGAACAAAATATAACAAAGGAAAAGATATCAGGGAAAAATCAAGGTGCCAAACAACACCTTCTCCAACCTAACTTGCAAAAAAAAAAAAAAAAAAAAACATCCGAGAAATGTGCAAGCAGACATAAAAGACAAAACCATATAAACTTACCTTTTGGTGTCAAGGTAACATAACTGGGACGTGGGTCCTGGAAAACTCTTTTCAAAGGGAAAATATTTTGAACTTGCATACGATAAATGCATCCTTCAAATCCTTTTCCAAGAGGCATGGTGTCTAAAAAAGTAAATTTAAAACAAGATTTTATAGTAAAAAAAAAAAAAAAAATAATCAAATAAGTTTCGCTCATGAAGGAGTCTATCTTATTTGGTTAACTTAATTTGTTTTTAATAGATTTATAGTAAATCCCGATATATATGTATACAAATTTTGTACAATGTTTCCTACTTGTTAACCTCCTATTCATAATAACACATTCTGTGCAATAAAATGTTTATATTTTCATCAATAATATCATTCATATTTTTTTTTTTTTTATTCCCCGCCAAAAAGTGCTGGTATTACATATTAAAAATGTAAGTTCACATTGTGTGTGTGTGTGTGTGTGTGTGTGTGTGTAACAATAAGCTCACAGTTGAAAAACATTGTTTTTAAACTGAATTTTTATGCTAAATTTCCCTTGATAATGTTTGATCTACACAAATATTCATGACTGAATTAAACAGAACTAGAAAAGAGATTATATTGAAAAATAAAGATGTGCAAAAAAAAAAAAAAAAAAATGCTCACATATATATATATATATATATGTGTGTATGTATACACACAAAAAATATACACAGATAATATACACACTCACAATATACACACATACTTACACACATTAGCCACATATAGACACACACATCATAAATGTGCACACACACACTATATATATATAAAAAAAGAGAGAGTGAAAAATAAAATATACATATGCATAAAATGTACAAAATTCATTGTGTACAAACTGAAAGCACAATATCTTTTGTCATTGCTGCTTCATACTGGTATGCAATTGATTTGTGTCAGGGACCCTGGAGGTCTTTTTGCCGTCATCCAATCACTGAAAACCCTCTCTCTCTGCATGAACACTACCCTACCAATATACAAAATATCTCCTTTCTTTCCAACCACCTACTTTCATCACAACATCCTCCACCTTGGAGCACAAGAAGGGGGCGATACTTAAAAATAAATAAAAATAAAATAAAACATTATTCCATTTATTACAATGTTTACATTTCATTTGCTCTGTTTTGGATAGATAGCAGATTACTTACTCTCCTAAATTCAAGCAACTATTCCTTTTTTGTACAATTTTTTTTTTCCTTTCTTTACACCATTTGTTGCCAGATTTAAATGCACATTTCTGTTTTGAAAGCTTTCTGCAGGGAGGACAGTGTGCCCAGGAAACAATCATGCCACCCCGACTGCTTCCCATGGATTTAGTTCTTATGCAATAGCCTAACTTGATAAATAACACCAAAACTTTTATTTTTTAAATCAATATACCCAACATTCATCAAAATAGTAAACATACACACACTCGTCAAAATAGCAATAGACAAAACACACACACTCGTCAAAATAGCAATAGACAAAACACACACACACACACACGTCAAAATAGCAAGACAAAACACACACTCGTCAAAATAGCAATAGACAAAACACACACTCGTCAAAATAGCAATAGACAAAACACACACACGTCAAAATAGCAATAGACAAAACACACACACACGTCAAAATAGCAATAGACAAAACACACACTCGTCAAAATAGCAATAGACAAAACACACACTCGTCAAAATAGCAATAGACAAAACACACTCGTCAAAATAGCAATAGACAAAACACACACTCGTCAAAATAGCAAAAGCTAGTAAATTTTATAATGCTATATAGTTTATCAAATCCATGAGAAATGTTTAATTTTTTTTTTTTAAATAAAGCATTGTTGCAAAAAGCGACAAAGAATAAAAGCACCCATGAAAATATGGTTCTCAGAATTCATGCTCATTTTATTTCAGATTACCTCAATTCCTCCCTTTATTTTGAATCGTAATCTCAATTTCTTTCTTAATGCACATTGTACTTTTATATCAGTAATTATTGGAATAATTTTTTACAACTAAATTGCTTTATAAATTACAATCAAATGAAAAAAATACATCCTTCCCAGGATAAAATTATTACCTGACGTCTCAGTTCTAGGTCTGAGAAAAAAATATCAGATTTAATAGAATATGTTGGGTTAAAATGCGTCTTCATTTCTCAAAGATTACCAGATAAGGCATCAAGCAATTTTGCAATCAAAACAACAAATATGAATATATTAGTCTCAATAATTTAGTGAAAATTAAACAGATGAGTTCATCTCACAACTTCAGATAAGAATTTTTATATATATATATATATATATATATATATATATATATATATATATATATATATATATGTATGTAAAAGTTAAAAGCTGTGCTATTAGGTGGAATTTAAGCTAGTTATTGATTGGGCCTTCATCGCAACAGGTAGGGAGGAGTAGATGCGATAGACAACAATAAACTATAAAAGAACTCAAAATTGATTGTTGCATTTAAGTATTGCAGTAATACTTAAGCTTACCTTTTAGAAGTTCAATGATAATTCTGCTGCTGCCACTTAATGACAATTTGATCTATGTAGGTCCTTACTTTCCTTACAAACAATTATTTTTATTTCATGGGTGACTTTCACTGGATTCTGCAATTAATTTTGGTTATTCCCTAATTTATAAAAAAATCATGCAATAAAATTTGCAGTAATGAAAACTTGAGAATTCAAAATTTCCAGATTGAGAGTCCAGATCCAGCCTGGAATGTTTTTAATTTGCTCACAGTCAGCCTGATTCCAAAATGGTATGAGATGTTGGGCTATGGCCTCTACAATTAAAGTGGAAAAAGTGGGACACAGTAACACACTGACATTGGCATTTATTATATAGAAGAAGAGGAGTTATTGAGAGTTGTGTCCCTTTAATTGAAAAAGGTGCGACACTGACATTGGCATTTATGATATATATATATTACGCACACATACACACACAAAAAAAAAAGACAAAAGGAAACCTTTTCTTTACCAACATATCTTGTCCATTGACAAGCTTCATCAAGGCATATATGACAATTTTTAAATTTCTGGTATGTTTACTGATCAAAGAGTGTCACCAGTAAAACATTTTATTTCAACCAAATCAACATTGGTGAGATAGAACATGATTCATGTTATGTCACATAAAAGTCATGTGAACACTGCCTTTGTTTCTTTACTTTGACTGTATTGGCTTTTTAAAAATAAATTTTACTAAATCTTACAAATTTCAATTCAGTTTTTACACTATATTCAGACTATTATCCTCATCTTTGTTGTTATCACATTTTAGCCATTACGTCCTCCAGCCTTCCTCAGGTGTACATCAATCTGGGTAACCTACAGGGAATTCTGAACTCAACCCTTTATTTAATCTACACAGATGAACTCTTCCACTGCTCATGTCTACAGATATCATCTACTTATTATTTAGTACTGTTTAGTTATTGCTCACCTGTCTCTACTGCTGAGGCAAGTACCCAGGGATTGAATCTCTCACTATGTCACAAAATTCACAAACCAATACTTTAATCCACAAGGCCATTGTCCCATAGGACAATTTGCTGTAGTGAACTTGGAACCTTAAATCTAATCTGCCTGCCGATTATAGTTGCAACTGCTGCGGCCTGTCAAATTTTGACTGCTACTACTGCATTTGAAGGCTTGCCGTTATTTTGTCTTTACTTATTAGTGGCTCCTATATTGCATTTATATCTATGCTACTTCTACTAAGGCGGTCTTCATAGCCTAGCATATGTGCTGATTCTTTCAGATGTATAATTCATGTTCTTCCTTGTCCAGTATTTTCACTTCATTCCACAAGTGCTGATGACTACCCCTTTCCCTCCATACATGATCAGCCATGCTTTATTTCATTGTCCCACCACTCACTAAAGTTTTTCGATGTTCCTGCAGCCTTACTTTTAGAGGGTGGCTTGCTCACCTTTATATTCTCTGCCCCAACTGCAAGGAGTTAAGTACACACAATTCTTGGTCACGTTCTCCCCCATATAAGGCTTTACTCAGAGATTTCTCTGTAAATTGTAATTGCTGTAATATTGTTCTGATGTTGTATTCAACCACAAATCTTATGTATCTTTTCCAATAAGCCATTAAGTAGACAAACTGTAACAATTTTCTGGTCGTCCTACTTCTATTCCCACCTGTAGATGCTGTTATTCTGAAGGGTACTTTGATGCTGATTATTTCTTGTTAATATATGTCTGGGTCACCACTTTTGATTTTTAGCCAGTGTTGTAGGCAACGAACAATCCTTTTCTTCACACTACATGGATGATGGAAATTGAAGTCGAGGTATTGTTCGCTGAGAGTTGGTCTATGATATGATTCTCTGCGAGTTATTAGTACATCCAGGATCAGCTGGTGTGTACTTGTACTCAGTGGAAATGGGTGAGCAATAACTGAGCAATACTAAATAAAAATAAGAACTAGATGATATCCCTAGACATGACCAGTGGAATGAAAACTCATGATAAGGAGTCTGACCATAATTTTGATGTAAAAAAAAAAAAAAAAAAAAAAAAAATGTAATATCAATTAAAACAGAAAGCAATTTACTAAGACAAAAATGTATAGGTGCTTCAATTGTTAGATCACCCACAGTAAATTTATGTCCAGGTTCTTACGTTTCACCTTCCTGGACAGATCTTAACACAATATAAAAAAAAATAAACAAAAAGAAAAAATAAATAAAAATTGACTAGATTATATACCCAAACACCCAAAAAAAAAAAAAAAAAAAAAAAAAAAAATTTAATGTAAATTTAAAATTTCAGCATCCACTCTCCTTCATGCACATATATAATCACATCAATGTAAACATCACTTTATAATGAAATGAGGCACATAAAATTTTTTTTATTCATCAAAACAAAGGACCACACAGCACAGTTGCAATATAAACCAGAGATTGGCTCTGTGGAAGTTGAAGAAACACAAATATGTCTGACTAGGCATCTACAACAGATGAGCAATGCACCCAAGCAGATAGGCATATCAAGTACAAGTGACTAGACAAATAAATTTACCATTTCGACCAATGTACATGATAGCTGGATCATTCAGGATAGTATCAGCAGTTTCCGACACAGGAATCCTTCTTATTGTTGGCTCATAATTGTCAACCTGGAAAAACAGCATATGAAATAAGCATCAAATTGTGTATACTGGATAATTTTTAAAAGTAAACAATGACGTCAATAGAAAGGATACTTGTAATAACACACACTACTTCAAACTTTCCAAAGAACACCAGGTTGTAGACAAAGGCATTCTGCCTACACAGAGACACCACATTGGTTCTTGAAAATGACCGAGATGGTCAAGATTACTTTAACAAAATAGCACAACATTAACTTAGGAGAGTTTATCCGCAACTTCAAGCACAATAAATCCTTATTCAAAAATTGGAAATAAAAAGTAAAGACAGACTTTGTAATTCATTTTAATCAAACTTGTTTGAACGAAAACTTGCTGACTAAATAAATCAGATTCGTATATGATAAAAATATAGTTTTACGTTAGGATATATTTATGTATAAAAGTGCTCAATGTCATGGATAGAGTGCATGTCAATATACATGTTGACAGTGAGGTCAACACCAAGAAGCAACAATCTTGGCTTGAAGATTGCATTCAAGCATGAAAAGATTGTTACCACACCTTGTAGAATATTGGTTGGTTTGCAAGTGGTCTGACATACAAGTAGACTGGTGTAGTCACTTCAAACTAAAATGCAGCTCTGAGTCATTTAATGGAGAGATATATGGGTGAATAGAGTCTACTCATGCAAATGTGTTGGGCAGGTCCATTCTAGCAAAGTGGACCTACCCACCTGCTGCATTAGGTGCTCTCCTATAAATGAGGTAGATTAGCTGGCTTGCCTTTCCAAGCAGATACAAGAAGGCAGCCATGTTAGCAGTTAAGTGATTTGACTTCTACAGACCTCAGTGTTCAATATATATATATATATATAATAATAATATATATATATAATAATATATAATAATAATAATAATAATAATAAAAAAAAAAAAAAAAAATATAAACATGAAATATGGCCATAACAACACACATATATAATATATTATATATATTTCCATAATTATAACTTAGTAGGTAGTGTATCCATATATAAAATCGAATGATATATGATATGATGACAATAATAATAATAATATATATATATATATATATATATATATATATATATATATATATATATATATATATAATAATATATATATATATATATATATATATATATTTATATTGATAGTTTTATATAAATATAACATATATATATATATATATATATATATAATTTGAAAAAAACTATCAAAATACAAAATAAAAGACCTGAAATTAAAATAGAAAAATGTGGAAATTGCAAGAATAATACCAGTGGTAATAGGTGCACTTGGAATTATAAAAATGGAACAAACAACATTGAAAGAATCCCTGAAACCCCAGCTTAAGAGACATACAGAAAATTGTCTTATTAAGTACAGCACACACACTAAGGAGAACTTTGTCTATGTAACGCTAAAACTTCATCGAAAAAAAAAAAAAAAAAAAAAAAATGAAATGTGGCCCATAACAACACACCACGACCTGCCTTAGGTCTTTCCGAACTTGGTAGGTAGTGTGTCCATAGCAAAATCGAATGATGATGATGATGACAATAATAATAATATATATATATATATATATATATAAATAAATAATAATATATATATTTTCTCTTTATACATTATTTTTTTTATAGATACAATTTAAATAAATGCTGTTTTTAATTAGATAGTATTAATTAAATTTACTGGCATGAACATTCGATTCCTGTCGAAGAACACATTTTCTACAAAATTTTTTGATCATTCAGGCCAGTAAATGTAATTAATACAGTTTAACTAAAAACAGCATTTTCTTAAATAAATTGTATGTATAAAAATAAGGGATAAACAGATAATATATTAAGTAATTGTAGGACTTAATACATTTCATTATATGTTATCATTTTTTACGCAAGATGCATTTCATGAGCAGAAATGAAGGATCTAGAAAAATCATCAAAAGGTGTGTCTTTATAAACAGACTTTGCTAACCAAGATGCTTCTCTGTAGCTGAATGGTAATGGCACATCAAGCTATATGATGGTTCTCATATGGGCTACTAGTTCGATTCCTGTCAGAAGGGCACATAATTTCTACAAAATTTCTCAAACATTCAGGCCAGCAAATGTAATACTGTTTAATCAAAAACAGCATTTAAATAAATTGTATCTATAAAACTAACATAAACAGAAAATATATTAATTGTTGGGCTTAAACCATTTTCAACATATATATATATATATATATATATATATATATATATATGTAAAACACAGGAGGCAATGTAAGATTTGCAAAGATGTATGGCTTAAAAATGTATATGTATTTCAACAGCAGGTAATTTAAATTCCATAAAAACATAAGTATGTCCACAACAGTGGATGCGTTAACACCAAAGCATAAGTTGTGATACAAGAAATCTGATACGGTAACAAGGAACCTTAAACAGTTTTCTTTAAGACAGAATTTTTTAAAATCTTAAGAACTTGCTTTAGCTACAGAAAAAAAAAATTCATCATTCATTGTAAAAAATTCATGAGATTATTAAAACAGAAATATGAGCCAATATGGCTGTTTCTTCAAAAGCATTCAGTAAAAAAAGGTAAAAGCATTAAATTTGTTGTTAGAAGACATGAACAGAAAACCTGTTACAAATGACATTAGAAGGCTTTAAATTTTAAAAATAAGGTGTTGATTTCCTGATGGAAATTTTTGGCCCTCACAAAACAATGTTTGGTATTATCTACAGATTTCACCAACTTCCAAAAACAGCTCTACTGTGACTAACAAAGTCCTATTCATCAATTTCAATCAATGATTTTTCAAAAGATTCTTTAATGAGGTTTCAGATTTTTCTATACAAATTTGTACAGAATGAATGGAAACTCAAAACTTATTTGGAAAAAATCTCTTCCTGAGTAAACCTTTCTTTGAAAATGAACAGCAGATATTGTAATATGTTTTGTATTTAATTAGCAGATATTGCTCAAAAGAAATTTTGTGATGTTTGCAAGAAATTTTGCTGTTTGCAAAAAATAATCAAATTAATTAAATAACAACAATACATTAAAGTATTGAAAAAAATAAATGAATTCTTGAAAAACCAAAACAAAGCTAGACAATATTCATTAATGAAGTCATTTCAGTGAATTCAGAAATTGAAAATGATTTCTCCATCAAATTCATCTGTCTTGGCAAAATGATGATAATGAAGTATCACCAGCTGATTCAACAAATCTGTATTTGAGTAATTTGTCAATTCGGACGCATTTTTATTTTTTAACCATTTTTTTCTACAAATGCATCAAGTTAATTTAACTACTACAAATAAATCTAAATCAATCTTATGTTTTGCTAAAAAATAATTAAAACAAAGAAATTTAATTTAGATTAACAACATTGTTTGGAGTGCTGTCCTCATCTTTATTGCCATATTTACAGTGGATAAATGGCCCAGTGGATAAAAGCGTTGTTTGGATCCAGTGACTGGACCCAAAGAGTTGTGAGTTCAATACCTTGCTACTGCAGTGGTGAACAAAAACTTGGAAAGTTGAGTTAAAGGGAGATAACAGACATCTGGAAGAGGCATGGAATGTGGAACTAAAACAAAGGGTTCAGTTTGAAATTCCAATCAACTGAAGAAGGCTAGAGTGTACAATGAAACATGAATATGGCAAGAGGAGGACAACAGTCCGAATAATTTAAATTACAATACCTCATCTCAGAAATATAGACAAACTGTCATTGTTGTGCCATGACAGAAAATGAGATGCAAAATTCCAAAGATTCACTGCAATAGCAAAAAGGTGTCTTCCAGAAATGGTAAAGCTTTCTTTAAAAACAAAGGAAACAGTGCTGAATAATATAGAGTAATCAATATGAAAGTGAATTTTGCTTCTAATCTAGTACTGCACTTAAATTCTGAAAGTATTTTCCTTTTATGTATTATAGATTTGTTATCAGAGTTCCTTAATTTAATTTGAAACCAAACCAAAAGAATCAGAATTTAAAATGAAGCATTGTGAATATGGCAATAAATATAGGACAACAGCTCAAACAATGTAAATAGTATAAATATATACCCACATATATGCATACAAGCTGTCTGGGCATCATGTGAGCATGAAACTCAGGTTACAACGACTGCCACCCTTTCATAGGATTTAACACTTAAGTGTTTCTTGCTGTCTAGGCAACCTAGGCTTTGAGCACTTTACTAAGTTTGCCTTTAGGCCTTTTTCAGCACTGTTTTTATTCAAGACTATCTGGATAAGAGTTTATGGTTTTGGTGACTTGTTTGTTGCTTCCATCAGAGGTTTTTGTTTTTCTTTAACACAAACATACATGACTTTTTATATATATATATATATATATATATATATATATATATAAAAGCTGCCCTATCGGGTGGCATTTAAGCTAGCTCCTGCAAAGGGCTCTTGATTGGGCCTTCATCATAATAGATAGGGAAGAGTAGAAACGATAGCCAACAATAAACTGCAGAACTTCAAATTGATTGCTGCATTTAGGTATTGCATTAATATTTAAGCTTGCCTTTTAAAAGTGCACCAATAATCCTTCTGCTGCCATTTAATTTAAAGACAATTTGATGTACGTAGACTCTTACTATCCATGCAAATTATTTTTATTTCATGGGCGACTTTCACTGGATTTTCCAATTAATTTTGGTTATTCCAAAATTTCTAAAAATTGTTTAATCCCAAAAAATGTGTCACAAAAAAAAAAAAAAAAAAAAATCATCGCCAAAACAATTGCAGTAATGAAAACTTAGGAGTGTAAAATTTCAGGATTTCAGGTCTGGATTCAGATCAGATCCAGGCTGGAATATTTTTAATTTGCTTACAGTCATCCTGATTCTAAAATGGTATGATATGTTGGACTACAGCCTCTAAGAGTAAAGTTGAAAAAGTGTGACACACTGACATTCACATTATATATATCTGCACAGACATATATAGCAAGTTAGTAAGCATAGGTTAGTTGTGGCACAAGGCCAAAACTATGAAGCAACCAATGAGGATTGAACTCACTATTCAATCATAATTGATCTAACAAGACAAGCTTGCTAACCATTACACCACATTGAAGTTTCCAGACACATATGCATGCATGCATACACACAAAATGTGGCCATCAATAGTTTCCTTTCAATTCTGACATAGCTTTGGTTACTAATTCTAAGATAAAAGAGAATAATCTTATATGAAATTCAGTAACGAACTTGAATATCACAGAATTGACGATTGAAATCAGATTAGATTTAAGCTGCTCAAAAGACTAGCCAGGTTCCAGACATGTCAGAACCTAAATGCTGGGTGGGAATGCCTCCAGCTGGCTCCTTCCCCCACCCCCAATTTTGCTTGGCAAAATACCAAGTTTCAAAATAGTTCAAACTAGTTTGAATTGTAAATAAAGCTGCAGAAGTTAAGCCAGGTCAAAGAGGCAAATACAAATCAGCCAAAATTATCTCAACAGTTACACAATTTTATTGAAAATTGATCGGAATAAAAGATTAGAATCAAAGTTGGCAAATGGAATTGCAAATCTGGAAAACTCATTTTAATATAATAGAAACTGAAAGACAATTAAAATCTCAAGTTATTTTTGTGCTGATAGCCAGATTAGCACAAATTATGTGAAGTTTGTTTCTATTTGAGGTGTTTATTGTTGAGGAAGACAAATGAACATACGGTTTCAACATCTGTCTATATTTCTGATATGAGGTATTGTAACTATTTATACTATTTACATTGTTCATACTGTTATCCTCATCTTTATTGTCATATTCACGATGTTTCAGCCATTGTACATGTCAGACTTCTTCAGGCAATATATGTCATAACAAAATAAAAGGTTCAGTTCAAAATTCAAACAAATTTCACCTGAAGAAGGACAGAGTGTACAATGGCCAAAATGTTGTGAATATGACAAAGATTAGAACAACACTCAAAATAATGTAAATTGATACAAGTTTAATGCAGTTATCTTTCCCTTATCCACAGGGGATACATTGCAAGGTACTCAGATGCCTAAAATTGCAGGTAGTAGTGGTAATGGTAATATTAGATATTAAAACATTGACAAACATTAATTTTTGATAATATTGTTTGCTAATAATGCTGGTAGACTGTTTGAGTTGTTGTGATAAAAAGTAAATGAAATTAAGACAAAAGAGATACTAAACAAAAATTAATATGTGAGAATGTTTTATCTTATAAAAATTAATCCAAATTTCTGTTCTTTTTATTGCAACTATCCAAACTGTCTACAGTTATTAGTAAACTGTATTATCAACTTTAATCTTTATTAGATAACATTGTCAAGCATTGTTAATTTTTATAATATTGTTTACTAATACCTGTAGTCTGACAGTCTTTATAGTTGTGATAAAAAGAAATTAAGATTTTTAAAAAATACAAGTTAGAAACTTGTACTAACTTGTAATAGTGATTTCACATTTAAGATATGAAAGTCCGACTATTTAAGAACAATAATTTTTAAATTTTATATCTGATTGATATTTAGGATACAGAATATTTCATTTGATAATTGCCTTGATATTTCTTGGGACTGATAGTTGAGTGGTTTTATATTGCTTTCTCCATGGTGATTTATTGAGACACTGCCTCAAGTTAGCTAGCCACTGACTTGTTGAGAGTTCTTGATAAGTCTTATTTTTTTATCCTGCTGGTTTGCTAACAACCCTCTTCACTCACAAAAACTTAGAGTGGGGTAGCTATTTTAGTCACCAACATTCCAATAGTAGCACGGGACAGAATCAAAAAGAAAACTGAAATTTCTAAAATACTGAAATTTCTAAAATACAGAAAATGAAGCATGGAGAATTTGACACTCACAGGGCATATTGAAGGCAAGAATAGCAATGGTAATATTAACCATTTTCCTACAAGGAAATATTTGGCATTCATTGACAGAGTAGCTAGTACTGTTTTCAGTTGAAATTTATAAAATCTTTCTCTTAGACCAATTTTTCAGAAAAGTTGCTATCATCATCATCATCATTTCCATTAATAAGCAGGGCAGTTACTTCTAATCTGTCATTTGGTGTTATGTTGAATATCAACATCTTGATAATGAAACATCTTGAAAAATGTCTAATAAGAATCATTGTAACAATATACAGCAAGAAAAATGTTACCAGGCAGAGAAGAATCTTGTTTTTAGATTTTATTTGACACTAGTAATTAACAAAAATGACCCATAATGAAACAGTACAATTATAAACAATACTAGTGTACCCATGACTTCAAAACTTATGGCAATTGTTTGAAAGTTTTAATGAGGTGCAATGACACAAAAGTCTTGAATGTATTGTGATTCAATAAAGCAGAGAATTCATAATTAAAACAGAGGTTAATGAACCATTTAATTAATCTGTTCCCTTTATATTTTTACACATTCAATGGTATCTATGATTCACTGATTGCTCCTGATATCATATAAATTGCTTTTTGCTTCATATCTTTTCATGTTAAATATTTTGTGTTTAATATTACAGTCAAATGGAAATATCTCTTGGAAAAAAAATTATTAGCAACAGAATAACAAATACAGTGATGACAAAGCCTATTTCAAGACCAAGTTGAAGCAAGATGATCACTTAATAGACAAAGTTATCTGAGTGCTTCACATAAAAGGCTTGAACAAATAAGACTGTAACCTAAGAAACATAAGAGTAAAGGAACTGATTAATTAAATGGTCTATTTTGATTGGGAACTAATTTTGTCACAGCACAGATAAATATTTTGTTTGTATAGATTATTAAAATGCCTAAGGGGAGTAATCACTCATAAATTTACTAACTTAAGTTGATTTACCTCACTTTCAACTACAGATGGGACAGAAAATATATAAATACACATTGATAATTATTAGGTTTGATACTGATGTAATTTATATTGCAAATCGAATAGTCTTTCTTTCCAAAGATCTTAGCTGCAATAATAGATCAGTAGCAATAACTGATAATAAAACAACAGTTTTAACAATATGCTGTAATAAGCATTATACAATAGAAGATTTATTCTCACTTAAGCAACCTCAGGATTTCTTTTTTTCTTATTAGGATCATGAAATTTCACTTTATTTTTAACTTAAAGAGATCACTTTATGGCTTCTCTTCGACATATCTAAATTGCCAGCACCACCACACTTGGGACCATTAAGGAATACGACCTATAAATTCTTTATTTCTGGGGTTGACTAGAAATAAACAATTCATACGGGAAGTGAAACTGAAGATAAGAGAGGAGTACAGTGGAGTTTCATAACAGAAGCAAAAAAATAAAAAAATAAAAATATCTAAATTTAAAATATATTTTCACTTCCTATAAATTGTAATACTATAAAAGTAGATACATCAATCATAACTAAAATATCAACACAACCATATGTATAAAAAAAAAAAAAAAAATTACATTTCAGTTTTCAGCTGAAATTTATAAAATCTGTGTTTTTCAAAAATAGGTTTATCAAGTCCAGTTGCTGTTATTGTTCTTTCCAGTACTGATGGGAAGGGTTTTCTTCTTAACCTCTTATTTGAAATTGTTTGCAATGTAAACATCTTGATTCAGTCATTATTTTCTCTTAGAGTTACACATACCATTTCATAATACTTTTTCCTTTGTGAACATATTTTCTGTTGCAGTCCTTAGTCCTTCATTTGAGAGTTGAGATCTATCTATAAAAGGCAGGATGTGTGTGTGTGTGTGTGTGTGTGTAACGAATGCATGGTCGCAATTTTCGACGGATTTGCACCAAAATTTACATGCACATGCTCCAAGTTAGCGGGAAGGCCAAAACTGGGTTTCCCAACTATCATCGATAGTGGAAATAAAGGATTTATGTAGTTTGCAGCCATTTTCTATTGGCCAGCGTGAGAGCCAACAGGTGACTGACACGAATGTTAACTAGCATGCAAGTTGACATGCAAAAAAAAAAAAAAAAAAAAAAAAAAAAAAAATAACTCCATTCGTCACAAGTGGGAAAAACTTAAATCTGCATGGCACTTTACTCCAATTGGCTCATTCGCTTGCTTAAACTCAACGGCGATTCTGATTCCACAGAACTGGGTTCAGTGTGAAAAAGCATTTGTTGTTAACATTCTTTTTTTTCATTCGGTTTTTCCAGTTACGAGTCTTTTTTTTAAAGCTAATTGTTTTGTATTCATTTTGTTTAGTTCTTTTTTTTTTGTAACAGATTTAATGTTGAGTATAGAACTTAAAAAAAATTTGCAGTGTGAGATAGGCAAGAAGTAAAGTATGTAGCAACATCAGCACACCAAAGGGCACTCCTTTAAAAGGCAAAGAAGGGCAAAAATATCTTGAGTCAAGTGATAGCGATTGCTGTATGAGTCATATGATTTTTGAATCAAGCACGGGCAATGCCAGGCTGCTAGTTTTTAATATATGCAGAGACACGCACACACAAATACACGAACCCAGGGAGACTTGAAAATAATTCAAAAGTACATTACTTACCTGCATCTTTATATGACGTCCTCTTTCTGTAATGTGAATAGTCACAACGTGTTGTTGGTTGTTGGCATAACTGATTCCGTGATTTTCTGTATTGATTTCATCTCGCCCATAGCCAATATCAAATGCCATTTTGACACCCCCTGAAAAAGGAAAACATTTAGAATTTCACACAATTTTTTGTTTTCATGATTTGCAATCTGAATCACTTCCCAAAGTTAGACAAAAAAAAATTACTTCAGAGAATATATGAAGTGATAGAAAAATAAATAACAAAAATTTCACCATCTTCAAAAATAGATGTATATTTAGAATCACCAGGCCACAAAGCCATATTTTGACCAAACAATCAAAGCTTTCACAACCAGGATATAAGGCTGTAAACCAATGAAAATCAAAGTGGCACTTTTGAAGCAGAGATTATATATATATATATATATATATATATATATATATATATATAAAAAAAATGGAAAATCAACCTAAACCAGAATCAATGAATTTTGTCCATTCTCTGATGCTAGTCTTCATAAGACACCTAGAGTCAAAATATGACATTTTACATGACTTGCTGGCAACTTTAAAAAGCTAAACCATCATTCTACATTTGAAAACAGGCATCTTCCTTCAGCCATATAGTTAAGCAGGTGGCTACTACATTTGGATATATATATATATATATATATATATATATTTGGCAGATTTATTTCTGATTTTATGAGAGTTCCAAGAAATTTACCAAATTTAACATTTTTTTTTTCTTACTTACACTCTTTACATTTGGGCTATTGTGCACAATTTTATTGTTATATTTCAACCATTGTGTCCTTCAGCCTTCATCAGAAGTATATCAATTTAAGTAATTCTAAAATGAAAGCTTTATTTAATCTATGAGGTAGACTATTCTCATCCCACTGCCCATGTCTAAAGATATCTTACCTAGTTCTTATATTTAGTAAGGCTCAGTTATTGCTTGGCCTGTTTATACCAAGTGCGAGTACACACATTATTTTCATTTCTTTTTTGTAATATCTGTAATGTTCAAATTATCTCCTTTGCAGACCCCCATCACCACCACGTAAAACAAAATGACAAAGACATAAGAGAAACATGCTAAAACAAAAAATAAAATGCTATTACAATAAAAGGTGGAATACTGAACATATTGCATGATTATCCCATCTTGTCTGCCAGGGGACGTCTCTTAAATGCTGTCAGGTTGTGTAGTAATAAGCAGTATAAAAGGAAAGGACTGGCACTTTTTTTTTTTTTTTGCTCTGACACCCACAGAATCTCATAGCAACAAGTTGGGAGATCTTTCCCCAACTTCTTGATTTCAACCAAACAACAAGGAGCACAACACATATAAACACACTACTGTGAATCACTTAATTATGATATTCTTTCTTTCATTGAATTATGCTGTTCTGTATATACATAAAAAAAAAAAAAAAAAAAAAAAAAAGAACAATAACAGAACAGTTCACCCACTACAAGACCTAAGAGCCACTATTATTATTATTCTAGGGAAGTAAGAGAGGACAAGTAGGATAGATAAATAATGCAGTTGTGAAGAAAAGAAACTATCATAAAATAGAAGTCATTATTTCAGATGTAAATAATTATTATTTTCTTTTTCAACATCTCTGTAAATAAATTTTTACTTTCTTGTAGCAAAATCAAAAAGTGAAAAAGAAAAACTTTTTGTTTGTGTTGACAAACAGAAAATATTTAATATGATTTTATTATGAGAAATTTTTTTTTTATCTGTCTATATTTATGAGGTGAGAAACTTTTTTTATCTGTCTATATTTATGAGGCGAGATATTGTAATTAATTACACTATAGTGTTTGGACTGTTGCCCTCATCTTTGTAACCATATTCACAGCCTTTTGGCCGTTGTATGCTCTGGACTTCTTCAGGTGATCGAAATTTTGAACCAAACACTATTTTGACCACAAAACTCCTTAAGAATTCCATTTTTCAAAATAATGCTTTGTGCAAAAAGAATGATTTGGAAACTGCAATAAAAAGTTAACTGAAATTAAGATGAAAGAAATGCTAAACAAAAATTAATAATAATTGACTATCTTGTAGGAATCCTACTATGTCCACATGATATTTGGGCAGTATCTACCTAAAAAAACATGACTAATACAATAAACTTTCTGATTTGTAATCTATGATTTTATTGGTGTGTTTAAAGATGTATTTTCTTGAGTGTGATAGGTTTATAAATATTGTGCTTGATATTTTAGTGGACACAACAAAGGCCCCCTCCTGTCATTAAAAATTTATTTCTAATGTAGGAAACAATAATTTAATATCTCAGTTATGTTTTATAATGTTTTGGCCAATGCAAATGTCTCCCAAAACTTGTAACATCCTTCTGTTATTGTCTCTGGTGAGGTGTTATTTGTTTTGTTGGATGTTTGTTCATTAGTCTTGAGTGATATTTGAGTCTGGATGCTCATGTTTTTCTTTTTGTAATTGTTGTGAGAATTGGTTATCGACATAAGCCAGTTTAATCTGACCGATAGCAATATTGTCATGTTGCACCATTTTTAGGAATCCTACTACGTCCACACAATATTTGGGTGGTATCTACCTAAAAATCATGATGACTAATACAACAAACTTTCCGATTAGTATTCTATGACTTTATTGGTGTGTTTTAAGATTAAGTATTTTCTTGAGTGTGATTGGTTTATAAATAGTGTATTTGATATTTTAGTGGACATGACAATCTGATGAAAAATTAATATTGTTTACTAATGCTGGTAAACTGAATAGTTGAGATAAAAAGTAAATGTAATTAAGATTAAAGAAATACTAAGCAAAAATTAATGTGCAACAATGTTTTATCTTATAAAAATTCATCCAAATTTCTGTTATTTTTTTATCACAACTGTCTACAGTTATTAGTAAACAATAACCTCAATTTTTATTAGATAAAGCATTGTCAGTTTTTGATAATATTGTTTGCTAATACCTGTAGTCTGATCGTTTGAATGGTTATGATAAAAAGCAAAAGAAATTAGATTTAAAAAATACAATACAAGTTAAAAACTAGTAATAACTTATAATATTGCTTTTACTTTTTTAAAGTATGAAAGTTTTACTATTTAAAGATAAAAATATTAATTTTTATCACCGATTGATATTTAGGATTAGATAATCTGATAATTGCCATGATATTTCTTGGTATTGATGGTGGAGTGGTTTTACATTGCCTTCTCCAAAGTAATTTATCAAGACTGCTTCTAGTTAGCTGGCCATTGACTAAAGAGTTCTTCTGCCCTTTGATAGGTCTTATTTTTCATTCTACTGGGTTGCTAACAAACCGTTTCACTCACAAGAACTTGAAGAGGGGGGGGGTAGTCTGTTTAGTCACAAACACTCCAATAGTAACATGGGACAGACTGAGGAAAAGAGGGACAGAACAAATTAGAGGAAAAGAGGGACAGAAGAAATTAGAGCATAACATATGTTTGAGCAAATGAATGGCAGAAAAGGGCCTGGAAGAAACATAAAAAAGACAAAACTTATTAAGAGCTACACGGGACAGGAAGGCCATGATCGCCTATGCCCTGAAGGGACAAGGCACATAAAAGCAGCAGCAGTATAATATTAAGAAAAAGGATATTTTCTTTAGAAACAATGAAAAGAGTGCTTCAATCTTCCTATATAGCAAGGATTGGTGGACAATTATCTCACATATGAAGAAGTGACTTGAAGCAACAGAAATGATTCTACAGAAGGATGCTGAGAATCCAGTGAACTGAACATGAGAATTACAAGCAAGTCTTAAGGAAAATGCAAACAAAAATGATGCTTATGCTTAAAATCAAAAAGAGAACTGAAATTTCTAAGACACAGAAAAGGGAGCTTGGAGAATTTACACTCGCAGGGCATTTTGAAGTTAACAATAGTAATGGTAATATTAACTGTTTTCCATATCTGTCTATATTTCTGAGATGAGGTATTATGTACACTATTTACATTATTCGGACTATTGTCCTCATCTTTGTCACTATATTTATTACAACGTTTTGGCCGTTGTACACTCTGGCCTTCACTTGGTTGGAATGTGGAACTGAACCCTTTATTTCACTCACTGGGGTAGACTGTTCTAGTTCCATGTGCCATGTTTAATGCATGTCAGTTATCTCCTGTTAATTCCCCTTTGCAAGTTCTCCACTACACATGACAGTGGATAAAGGTGTTGGTTAGATCCAATGACAGGACCCAAAAGAGTTCAATACTTGGTTAAGGCAGTGGAGAACTTGCAAAGGGGAATTAACAGGAGATAACTGATAATGGACATCCATTAAACATGGCATGTGGAACTAGAACATCTACCCCAGTGAGCAAAATAAAGGGTTCAATTTGACATTCCAACCACCTGAAGAAGGCCGGAGTGTACAACAGCCGAAATGTAATAAATATGGTGACAAAGATGAGGACAATAATCCTAATAATGTAAATAGTGTAACCGTTTTCCAACAAGGAAGCATTTGGCATTCATTGACTGAGCAGCTAGTATGGCTTTCAGTTGAATTTATGAAAGCTTTCATTTGAGAAAAAGAAACAATGACTATGATAAAATGGATGGTAGAAAAGAAGTGGGAGGAATAGTTGGTTGGTTATTTTGTTTTACAGCACATCAACCTCAGTGGGAGGAATGGTGAAATGACAAACCTTACTAATAGCTACAAAGGATAGGAAGTTGTAGAGAGCCATGTTCCCCCCCCTCCCCCGTACTGAAGAGACATGGCACAAAGAAGATTTGATTCAAATATTCTTGGATCTCACATCATATTTAGTTGAGAACATAAGCATTTTTAACAAATACACTGGCCCTCAACAAATATAAAAATGATACCAATCTTTAAAAAAAAAATCTTTAAAATTAAAAAAGTAAAATAAAATTTGATTACCGATAACTTTGATATTAAAAGCATTTCTTTCAAATTTGATTCAGGGCCAATGAGAAGTTTTCTGCAAGTTCCATTCCTTTCTGAAACATTCTTCATTATGATTTCTCTTTGTTCCTGTTTTTCATTGAAATCAAAACTAATGAAATTCTATTGATTTCAAGATTTTGCAGATGAGCCTCGACATCAAAGGGAAGTAACTCATATTTAATTTCGTCAAAGCACAATTCGAAAAATAATTGTTTGCTTGCTTTCAAAGGATATTTTTAAAAGCTCAGAATTGAGAACTAATTAAATTAGAATTCTGTGACATCCAAATGACAGAAAAAGCAAAAAAACAAAAAAATTTGTAATTTTCCTTTTTTCTTCCCCAATTGTATTTTTCTCCACTTCCTTCACTAGTTTCTTCTGAATTAATTAAATCTTTGAAAAATAAATACTCACACTGGACAGAATTAAATCTACATAAACATCAGAAAAGTATTTTTATGTTTTTGATTAGTTTCTGGTTCAAACTGGTGAATATTTTTTTTTTTTTTTATTATTATTATTTGAAATCAACACTGTATATATTTCAGTTCAGTCCCTGAGTTACTCAGTGTGTACATTCGCTAAATGAAAACAAGCAATAACTGAGCAGTACTAAGAACAAAATGAGATGTCTCTAGACATGGATTGTAAAATGAGAAAAATCTATCCCTGTAGATTAGATAAAGTGTTCAGTTCATAATTCCCTGAAAGTTAGCTGGATCGACAAATTCCTGATGAAGGCCAGAGAGCACAAAGGTTGAAATAACAAAAATGAGAACATTGGTTTGAATGTAAAATTTTTCTTTTTTTCTGTTCTACATCAAGCAAGGTGATAAAGCCGCTAAGACGCAAATAGCTACCATGAGTGAAAGAAACTGAGAAAACATGAGAGGAGAAAGGACAATAAATGAACAGGTTTCAAAGACAAAAATGGTGATTAATGTTGCATTTAAAATTTTGAAGACTGTAGTTTAGAGGAAAGAAAAAACCAGAAAGATCCACAGGTGAAGAGTGAGAGAAAAGAAAATATCAGAATCGAACTTACAGTTACATAAAAGAAAATGTTTTGAACAGAAGTAGAGGTTTATCTTTTATTGCTCCATTTAAGATGGATTAGTTTTCAGATTTTTTTTTTTTTGTTTTAATTATTTCACTCTAGGCAAGGCAATAAAGCAACTAAGATGCAATGGCATTTCTGAGTGTTAGAGAATATGAGAAAAACTACTCTTCAGGAGAGAACAATAAAAGAACAAGAATTAAGACAGAATATAATGATTAACAGCGTATTTAAATTTTTGAAGATCAAAGTTTATTGGAAAGCAAGAAGCTGGAAGAGAGTTCCACAAATGAGATGTGTGATAGAAGAAACTGTTAGCATAGAACTTACAATTACATGTAGCCATTTCAACTGTAAAATAATGAAACCAAGCTGCCAATCTAGTACTGCACTTAAATTCATAAAGTCTAGGTACATCAGAACAATTACCATGAATATATTCATAGATTATAGACTACATTATGGCAGTGGGAAAGTGACTGAACCAGAGATGCCAGATCAGGACAAATAACATTGCAGATTCTTTGGATGTTATCAAGAATTTTTCTTCTAAAATCTACTTCAACTCTATACTTCCAATGTTCCTGCTAAACTGAAGTTACTATTTCTTTTATTTATTTTTTTCCTAAATAGTAGATAGATTTACCTATCTTCTGGTTCACACTCCTTCCTGATGTTTTGAATAGGAGTAGAGGTTTATACCTTGATTCCTGTTTAGGATTGAGATTTCTTGTTCTTTCTAAATACTTTTTCATTCCCTTTCACTCTCAGTAACCCTTTGCTTGGGGTAAATTTATTAAAAGAAAGAAAGAAAAAAAAAAAAATTTAATTGGACCATTATCTTTTTTCCTTTTTTTTTTTTTACATGATACAGATGCTCCCCGTTCCTGCTCTGTATCACTTCTACCAACATCAGTACAGGTTTCTCTTGCTAGCTAAAACTGTGTTAAGCAAGCAATTATCCTTAATTTATAGGAGATTTTTTTAAAGCATTCCCAGGCTGAAAATATAAACTTTATTTATATCTGCCAGCCTTGATAGTTGATGCTACATTAACTTCCCTGGTTGATCTGGAAGATACTTGAAATACAATGGTATGCCTAGCTTCATACCATTCTATCATACCATTCTTGAAAACAAGTCCTGAACATATGTGCCCTTTCAAAATTAAAATCATATTTTAACCAAAATTAAAATGCTATTTTCTGAGTCTGAAAAGAATTAAAAATTCAATAGTAACTGTTTCAGTTAGCAAAAAGTTTCATAGGAGTGTTTCTACTTTCAGATAGCAGGGGTGTAGAAAAAAAAAAAGGAAAAGAAAAAAAAGAAGGAAAAGAAAAAAAGGAAAAGAAAAAGAAAAAGAAAAAGGAAAAGAAAAGGAAAAAGAAAAAAGGAATAAAAAAAAAAGAAAAAAGGAAAAAAAAAGAAAAAGGAAAAAGAAAAAAGGAAAAAGAAAAAAGGAAAAAGAAAAAAGGAAAAAGAAAAAAGGAAAAAAGAAAAAAAGAAAAAAGAAAAAAGGAAAAAAGAAAAAAGAAAAAAAAAAAAGGAAAAAGAAAAAAAAGAAAAAAGAAAAAAAGGGAAAAAGAAAAGAAAAAAAGAAAAGAAAAAAAAAAAAAAGAAAAAAAGAAAAAAAAAAAAGAAAAAAGAAAAAAAAAAGAAAAAGAAAAAAAAAGAAAAAAGAAAAAAAGAAAAAGAAAAGAAAAAAAGAAGAAAAAGAAGAAGAAGAAAAAAAAAAGAAGAAGAAAAAAAAAAAAAAGAAGAAAAAGAAAAAGAAGAAGAAAAAGAAAAGAAGAAAAAGAAAAGAAGAAGAAAAAAAAAAAAAAAAAAAAAAAAAGAAAAAAAAAAATGCAAGAGGGTTCACCGCAAACCAGCTGTTCTTCTTCACCGTTGGTCACCTCAAAGAAATGAATTATGAGACTCCTTTTCTTGGCCAGCAAACACCAGGTAGTCATGAAACGGACACCCAAATCAAACGAATTACTTCAAATTGCCTCTTGGTCTGCCAGTCTATTCGCATCGCCTGACTGTTTCACGAAGTCTGCGAATGAAACGCTTGCTGTGCCGTTGGCGCCTCGCCTTTTATGCTAGTCTGACACTGCTGAAATTTGCATGTACTGGTACAATCTCGCTCTGGACAGGACCGCGGTATAAATCACATCTTTGACAGCGGCCATGTTTTCTCTCGGATTTATCATGCAAGCAAGACACGTTCACACACTTTTCGAGCTCCGAGGTAAGTCATCACAAGGGGACACCGCATGGGTTAAGTATTAATGAAACAATATTTTGTTAATTAAACTAGATGGAAGAATGACCCTCTAATTGGACATGACAGTTAAAAGTACTTGAGTGTCTGGGGCAACATTTCTATCTATCATCAATACCCGACTACTGCAGTAGTGAACAAAAAAAACTTGGAGAGTTGAGTTTAAGGGAAATAACCGAGACAGCCAGAAATGGTATGGCATGTGGAACTAGAACAATCTACACTAGTAGATGAAATAAAGGGATCTGATTGAAATCCCAATCACTTGAAGGCCAGAGTATGCAATGGCTAAAACGTCATGAATATGGCAACAAAGATGAGAACAACAGTCCAAACAAAGTAAACTGTGCAAATAATTAAAAAACTTTTCATTATTTAAAAGAAAAAAAAAAAAAAAAAAGACAATGTACTGGTCTTTTTTTTTGAAAAGTTGATTATATTTAGAGAAAATCAGAAAACCTCAAGCAAATTCTGCATAATGTTAACAATGAAGACTCATAGATGAATCAATTAGGAAAAAGGCAACAATTTAAGTCTCCCATGGCTGATTCATTCAAAAAATAAGTATGGAAAAAAAAAAAAAAAAAAAAAAAAATGACAGAATTAAAGAGGAAAAAAAGAAATCAGGTAGGTATTAAGAAGAAGAAAAAAACAGAGATTTTAGATGGAAATAGATTAGGATAAATAGAGAGATAGAAAATATAGATAGATGATTAGATATTTTAGATGAAAATAGAGAGAGAAACTAGATAGAGAGATAGATGGATGGATGCAAGAATTGGGGGATGCATGGATGATGGAGAGATATGATGGATGGAGGGGATGGATGGATGGGGAGAGATGAATGGATGGATAGATGAGTGATGGGGAATGTTAATGGATGGATGATGGATGGGGGGATGGATGGATGGGGGATGGATGGATGGATGAATGGATGGAGATATGGATGGATGGGATGGAAAATGGATGGGGATGGATGGATGGGATGGATGGATGGGATGGATGGATGGGATGGATGGATGGGGATGGATGGATGGGGATGGATGGATGGGGATGGATGGATGGGGATGGATGGATGGGGAGACTGGATGGATGGGGATTCATGGATGGGGATGGATGGATGGGGATGGGGATGGGGATGGATGGATGGGGATGGATGGATGGATGGGGATGGATGGATGGATGGGGATGGAAAAAAAAAAAAAAACATGACAGAATTAAATGGAAGGGAAAAGAATGGGGATCAGGTGAATGAGATGGTATGAATAATGGATGAAGAAAAAAAATGAATGGGGATGGATGGATGGGGAAATGGATGATGGATGGATGGGGGAGATGGATGAGAGATGATGGGGATAGATGAAGATAGATAGATAGATGAGATGGATAATGGGGATTTAGATGGAGATGAGAGAGATTTTTTATTTTCCTGAATTGATCATACTTGTTTACTCACCATGATTGTTAATCTCGACCGAGATGTATTCAGTATTTGCTGCATTCCTAATCTGCATCAAGATGCCTTGCATTTTGGCAGTAGAAAACCCAATCTGGGCAAATTCAAAATCTGTGGCTGACAGACCATGAGTGGAATCAAACTTGTATGTAATCATATGGCTTGGTACCATGTTGGCTCCAACCTCTGAAAAGAAATTAATGGTTATTTGAAGTTCCCAGATAAAGAATTTTTATTATTTCATGCATTCAGATGAATCTTTTGGTTCATTTAATTTTGTCTACTGTGTTTCAACTAGTTTATATAGCAGATAATTGAACGACAAAGTGAAAAAAAATCATGGCCCTGTGGCACTGAAGTAATCCAGTGATTTGACCCAACAACTTATGGGTTCAATACCTGGCCACAGCAGAGATGAACAAAAACTTGTAGAGTTGAGTTACTAAAGGGAAATAACTGCAACTGAAATATCCAGAAAAGGTATGGCACGTGGAACTAGAACAATCTACCCCAGTGGATTAAAAGGGTTCAGTTTGAAATTCCAACATATATCACCTAAACAAGGCCAGAATGTACAAAGGATGAAAAATTGTGAATATGACAAAGATGAGGACAATTGTATAAACAATGTAAATTGTGTAAATAGTTACAATACCACATCTCAATATAAATAAATATTAAAATGGAAAAAGTCCTGTTTTTCGTCCTTCAAAAGGACTTCTCCAAAAGAAATATTTTTTATTGTAGGAATTATGTAACAGGAGAAGGAACGAAATACAACAAACACTAGTTATAATTCTACACTGAGAGAAACATTGAATATGCAGGTACCCTTAACCTTAAATTTCTGGCATCCAATATGAATAGGTGCACAATCTAGCCAACTTTCATTAGCTTCCGAATGCTTTTGTCTTTAAATACCCAACATAAATGCCAGTTTGATCAGAAGAGAAAAGAATTCACTAAGAAAATGCATTGAAAGTGAACTGATCTCACAATTCCCACAATAAACATCAGACCAAGCTCATACACAATATCATTGAACATTACAAAAGAAATAATGAGACAATTTGATATACAAACTAATACAGAAAAATAAAAGATCTACTCAGAGTTGACGGTTTTTGAATTTAGCTGACTTTAACAATTTCAATATGGAGGGGTGGGGGAGAAAAAAAAAAGAAAGAGCTCTTTCTGGTCACTGGTTCTAATAAGATTATTTATTAACCTTTCCTAAAAAATTCTAATGAACTTTATTTACAGAGAGTAGCATCTTCAGCATTTCTCTCAATGTAGAATTATAAACAATGTTTGTTGCATTTTGTTCCCTCCTCTGACATATCTAGGATTCCATCAAGGAAAATATTAAGTTTGAAGAAGTCCTTTCAAAGAATGAAAGGCGTAACACTGGGTTTTTTCTATTTTGCCATTCAGTTACCACTATAAATATATATATATATATATATATATATATATATATATATATATATATATAAATATATAAAAATTATGACTTCCATTAGTCTGTCTGTCCATCACACCTCTAAAATAGCCATATATTTACAATCAAAAACCAAATTTTTAAGGAGGAATGCAAACAGATAAGGGGATACAAAACGCAGCTGGTTTTACTGGAGTGCATAGCTTTAGTACAATAAATTTTCATTAATTTTTGGGGTAAGATTAAAAGCTTTTTGTTATTTAACATACAAAATACTCCCACTATTTAAAAAAAAATTTAATGATTGAAATAACAAATACTTATTTAATAAAAAGGCAATAGCTTTTTTTGCATATCTTTTAAGTTTGTATATATATTTAATTCTGGTAAAATACAATACACAGTAGGGAGAGTAGAGTTTGTAAATCTCAACAAAAAAATGTTAGCGATTACTTCAACAATACTAAATACTCTGAGGATTTTAACATGCATCAGCATGTTGCAAAAAATAATTCTAATAGGACAAAAACTACAAGTGTTTGTTGTTTAGAGAGAAACAGTGATACAAATAAAAGAATGCTCAATGTAATAAATTTTTTTTTTCAATCCAGACCCAAGGAAAAAAAAAAAACCTTTATGATTTTACATGCAGATTGTCAGGCAATAAAATTCAGAATTATTTTTTTTTCCATTTAACTAAATATGTACTGCCTATGTGAAAAAAAATGTTCTTCCCATGTTTATAATTTGGTAAGAGAAATTTTTTTTTTTTTTTGCTGCCAATAATTAGAATTTCTCATTTAGCAACATATTCCGATTTGGGTAGGTTACGATTACCAAAATCTGCACATCTTCCATATACCATAATTTCTCGAAAATGCAAGCCACAACAAATGATCCAAAAATTAAATATATCTATCCCTATGTATAATACGCATCTACAAATTTTGTCACAAAAAAAAAAAATTTTTTTTTAAATTATTAATTACGAAAACATTTTGTTAACAACCCTGACATTAAGAATAAAGTCAAAACTAAGCAGCTAAAATAATAAAACCATAATTGGAACTTATTGTAAAATGGATTCAGGAATCTTGGGATTTCATCAGTGAGGATGTTATAAAGAGAGGTTTCAAGAAGTGTTCTCTCACAATGGCCATGGATATCTCTGATGATGACATCCTTTGGCAAGAGAATAAAGATAATTTTGAACAGAACAAAGATAATATTGTGAATGATAATTTGTTTAATGTCAATTTAGATATTGATTTTATAATAAAAATTGGTGGTGATGATAATAAAAATCAAAATTTCAATAAATTGTTAACTTGAATCCTCTTTTCTTTGAAATTGGATAGATTTATTTTTTGCAAATTAAAAATTGCAGTTACTGATAAACAAATTTATTGACAAAAAATGTTACAATTATTATTGTTGGATTTAAAATGAAAAATAGGATATCTTTCTTATTTTAGAACAAGTACATATTTATTATTATAAATCAATAACAAAAAAAATATTTTTGTTTAAACCTATTTATAATACGCACCCCTACTATCACCTGTAATTTATAGTAAAAATATGTATATTATTTTCGAGAAATTATGGTAACTTACACACAAATCTTATAATTATATATAAAACTTATAACATAAATTTGTATACATCTTCCATATTCAAATTTGGTTATGTTACAATTGCTAATTTTTCTCTCTGGCATAATCTGCACATCTATGGACCTGTTCATTATCACCCACTTTATAATCAGGCTTTTGTTTTCTTTTTCCTTAATCACCCACACATAGTTAGCAAGGAAGGTGCTATTTTTATATTTCATCAGATTGAAGGATGTTTTATGGTTGTAAGATAGCTTATGCACCCCCTATAGAAACAATATACACTTTCTCTGAGTTGTTTTTCAAATTTGACTCTGGCCCTATACACAATGTTTTTCCCCATGAAGTGACCATCAAGAGGACACTTTAGTGTATCTCTACAATAACACTTCTTTTTTTCTCTTATGTTCAGCATTCTCCTGTTGTGACCTTTGATTATTCTCTCTATGCATGGTACAGAAATGTAGCTTATTTTCACTGAATTCTTGTTAAATACTTTATGCATTATGTAGTTGGGAAGTGCTTGTTTAATAATCTAAGAAAAACCTTGGAAATTTTAGATTTCACTTATTTAAAAGGCAGGGTTTAAACCAAATTATATTTCTTTTAAAATTTTGTTTTCTTTCCTTATTTCTCTCTAGCAGTTCAACTTTTTCAAAAAAATCAATTAGATCTTGTGCCACTCACTTAAGGCTTTATCAGAGTTTTCTTTAATTTCATTAAATATTTTTATATCTGGGGAATTCCTAGACAATCTATATTCAATTCCTTGAGGTCCATGCCTTTTCTATAAATACTTCCATGGCAACTGTTTGGATCAACTCTTCACCAGGGTACCTAGATTTTACAAATTTAAACAGTACTAAACTGGTGACAAGGTCTCACAATGTAGAGTTGAGTTGGCTAGATGTAATCTTGAGTTCTATGGTGACAGTTTATTTTCTCGCACTTCTCACTTGTGGAACTCCTTCCCAGCTCCATGCTTTCCAGCCAACTTTAAACTTGAAAAATTCAAATGCAATATCAATCGCTATCTACTTTCCTCCTGATTACACTTTTGTTCTTGATCTTAGTAAAGTTTCTATTTAATTCTTCCACACTCAGTAAACATTTGTGTGATGGTGCCTTTACTGCCTTTTTGGAGTGAAATCATTTAAAAATAAAAATATGCTTGATGATTGCACATGGGTGGTTCGATTTTTAGTTAATGCATGACACGGGGGACATTTCAAGCTATAATGCATGACACGGGGGACATTTCAAGCTATAATGCATGACACGGGGGACATTTCAAGCTATAATGCATGACACGGGGGACATTTCTTTCAAGACACGGGGGACATATAATGCATGACACGGGGACAGAGATACTTTTATCTCTAAGGTCAAATTTTGTATCAAGTGACTGAACAACTTTGAGTTTCTGAGAAGTTTTTCTTGGAAATTTACTTTGTAGTAGAATATGTGCTCAGAAACATTATTTTTGACCATGAAGGTCGTCCATCTAATGAGTCAGTTGGTGAAACTGATTCATTAAAAAATGAATGAAGGGACAAAAATTTCTCAAAGAATGTCTTAGATGACAGTTCCATCACTTTCAGTTGAGGTATTTGTACTGGGAAGAGTAAAGTGCATAAAACTATGAAAAATGCCTAGAAAGAAAAAACATCACCAATTGCCAAGAAGACTGGTAGGACACACTGTTGATAAATAATACCTTCCTCTCTTGGAAAAAAGAGAAACTAGAAAAAGTAGTGCCTGTAAGAAGATAGGTCACTTGCAAGAAGGGAGAGAAAAGAGGACTGCTTGCAAGAAGAGACAGAAAAGAGGGCTGCCCATGATAAGAGAGATGGCAATTTGGTTGCAATATCTTGAAAGAGAATTTAATAACTAAACATCCTTAGAAAATTGTTGAAAAATAATTTACCTCTGCCACACATCCAACCTCGGAAAGGTGTATAAGAACAATCACAGGTGTAACTCGAATATCCCTCATAACAAGTACCTCCATTGAAGCAAGGATTGCTAGAACATTTACCAATGCAACCTGTAAAAAAAAAAAAAAAAAAAAAAGTATTACAACCAATTTGATTTTATTTCTCCATTGTTCAAAGAAAATTTGGCATGACTAACATTCATTTAAAAAAGTTAATAAATGTTTCTTTTATTGGACTAAAATTCACCTATTACAAAGCTCGAGAGTCACTCAAGATAGAGAGTTAGTGTTAAAATATTGAATGAGGTGTGATATGATTGAATGAGGTGGTGATAGGAAATGAAGAATAAGAGGATAAGGTGGATAGATAACTACTGACCTTTGATCTGAAAGGGTTAAGATTGTAGCCTTCAAGAAAGCATTCACATCGGAGCATGTTCTATAAAGTATCGTTTATTGGAAACATTGGAAACAAGAGGAGCAGAAGTAAAAAGGGCAACATGCTTGTGCCGATGGACATGGCAGAACATGGAAGGAAAGGGGTGGACATGGCAGAACATGGAAGGAAAGGGGTGGACATGGCAGAACATGGAAGGAAAGGGTGGACATGGCAGAACATGGAAGGAAAGGGGTGGACATGGCAGAACATGGAAGGAAAGGGGTGGACATGGCAGAACATGGAAGGAAAGGGGTGGACATGGCAGAACATGGAAGGAAAGGGGTGGACATGGCAGAACATGGAAGGAAAGGGGTGGACATGGCAGAACATGGAAGGAAAGGGGTGGACATGGCAGAACATGGAAGGAAAGGGGTGGACATGGCAGAACATGGAAGGAAAGGGGGGACATGGCAGAACATGGAAGGAAAAGGGTGGACATGGACATGGAAGGGAAAGGGGTGGACATGGAAGGAAGGAAAGGGGTGGACATGGCAGAACATGGAATGGAAGGGAAGGAAAGGGGTGGACATGGCAGAACATGGAAGGAAAGGGGTGGACATGGCAGAACATGGAAGGAAAGGGGGTGGACATGGCAGAACATGGAAGGAAAGGACAAGGGCAGAACATGGAAGGAAAGGGGTGGACATGGCAGAACATGGAAGGAAAGGGTAAGGAGACAAATATTGCTTAGAGATACAATGATGGGAAGTTGTGGAGAGCCATGATTACATATGACCTAAAGGAACACACTACTAAAGAATTCCTTGCCATTCACCATTGTTAAACAATGACAAAATGGACAGATGATGTGCAACAAAGTTTAAAAACCCAACTATAACCATTTGCTAGGGCAGCTAGCCAATCCTTGTCACAGACACCTGTCCAGGTGCATTTTGTGTTTGTGCAACACTTGCAGAACCCATCTGTGGTTTATACCGCAACTATGCTGGACAGACCTTAGTTACAGTCTGAGAGTACATAATCTGTCATGATCAGCAGTTTGAACAATGCCAGCATACTCAGAGCCTCAATATAATGACTTGCACAACCATCAACAACTTCCAATCAGGCTCAGGTCAATCCATATGTGTGATTTTCAAGCACTTTCCCCCCACAGTGCTATACACTAGGATTGCCTTCCCAGGCAGATAAGATAAAAAAGTAACCTTCCTGATAAATCGATTATGGTGCATTTCGAATTCACATTCCATGGTTGGAAACCACACAGCCACTATATTCGAACAGTATTGGTAATTAATTTACTATTGTTTACCATAGCATTTTTTGATTGACCAGAATTAACCAGAACCATTTTAATAGTAAATTTCTCAACTGTTGATTAACTGCTTTATCTTAATTGTTATTGTAAGTAACTGTATAGTGACTTTATTGCCAACCTGTATATATCTTTGGTACATAGGCACACACACATCATCAGAGACAGGCACATGGCAAAATTTGCACAAATACACACACAAACACAAAAAAATAGAGAAAAAAAAAATTACACCAATCTCTCATATATATATATATATATATATATAAAACACATTCTAGTTTTGGTGAACTGATTTAAAATGCAACACCACCAAATGGGTCTAACATAAATAAAACAGGCGGACAAGCACTCTTTTGTCTGGACATTGGAGGTGATAATTTAATTAGATTTATGGTCACCACTTATGCTCAGAGATGCTAATGCATTTTTGTTCATATATAGTTTTGTCTTTCATTCATTCTAATCCGAGGAAGCCAAAGTGAGCAGAAACTCATTAAAACATCTATTTAATACATTTTCTATTTTTTTTCTTTCTCATCACCTTCAAACACACACACATTATATATATAACATAAAACATTAGGCAGCATATAATTTATATACAAAGAAATAATTACTACTAGCGATGGATGTCGCCAATAATAGCATTAATATTGCTGATTGATTCTATGTGATTATTATTTCTATATATATATATATATATATATATATATATATATATATATATATATATAGTGTATAGGTATGCAAATGTAGGTATACAGTAATGAAAATAAAAAAAAAACATCATGCACACAAAACGTATTGTACTGATCATACAAACAGATCAATCCATCAAATGTTTAAACTGTATACTCCTCAGTCATTAGCACACTCCTCTTTGCCTGCAAAATGTTATGCTTTATCGAAAATTATAATTTGTCAGACGCGCTACCGTTGTCGAAAATTATAATAAATGCATTATAATAAAAATTATGAAAATTCAATTTTTAGAAAATGTTTGGAGATATATATATATATATATATATATATATATATACACACACACACACACACACACACACACACTGGAATCTCCTGTCGTTTTGGTTGTTTGAGGTTACAGCAGCTCAGTTCATCGAGCCGAACAGCTAGGCCAACCACATATATGATTTGATTATAGTGGTGAGGGCTTGAGTAGATGCGACCACACCTTTCAGAAGAATCTAATACAAAGAACTAGTGCACATATTGTGCCACAAGGAATCCTAAAGAGCCTCCTCATTTTTTGAATAGAGAGCTGTCCTTCTAGACTGGTTGCCAATCAAGGCTATAGGACCCTCTCTGTTCTGCTATTTACCCATATGTAGAGACGTATTCACACCTTTCAGAAGGGTATTTGCACGTATTGTATTGCTTATTAAATATATCAATAATAAACATAAATTAATAAACATGCCAATCCCTCAAATGATCAAACTGTTTGTAAAAAAATAATTGTATTATAATAAAAATAGTGAAATTAAAAATGATTTTAATGAATTAAATGAATTCTAGTATTAAATGAATCCCAGAACCACTATTGTAATGCTAGTAATACTCGTATAATGCTTACTGTATACCTACTTTTGCAACCGCCTGTATGGAAATATTCATTTCCCTTCCCCAAGAAACACAACTGATACTTATTAGAGATAAGAGTTGCTTCCCTTAGTTCTTCAAATTGAAAATCTTAAGGTGCAATAAACTGCAGAACACTTATTTTGATTGACCACGCCACTTTACTTGAGCAGATTTTATAATCTAAAGTAAAATGTAAACAAACCTTCAGACACGCCGTAAGTGACTTCACCTCTGGATACCATTCCTTTCATATCTAAGAGAACGCCATTAACCATCAGACCGCGAATGCAGCCAACGAAACCATCTTGATAACCCACTGCGGCACCTGGAAACAAGAATAATATTTGTGCAGAAATTAAAATAAATACATAAAACTTGTGTTTAATGCAGATGGAGATAAAAATTGTCCACTTACCATAAGACTTGCATTCTAGCAAGCTCAAGACTAACACTGACTATATGCCTGTTAATGCATCAAGATAATGTCTATATGCTATAATGACCCTGTATAATGCTGTTTCATTAAACAATGCAGTTGCTTAAGGACATTTCTAGAATGCTAACCAAGGTAATAATTGTGATTTGAATGAAAAAAAAAAAAAAAAAAAAATTGGTTGGTTGTTTTGTTTTACGGTTTATCAACCTCTTATGGATCATTTAAAGCTGAAACTTAAATTGCATAAAATATAAATTGTATTCAACTACAAATATTTTCTTGTACACAATCATATGGTTTCAATTATCGTTTCCCCCCACATCATATGGTAACAACTATTTATTCCACCCCAGAATCATATGGTATCAACTATTTATTCCCAACCCCCCCACCAAATCATATGGTATCACCTATTGATTTCGACCAAACCATATGGATACCAGTATTTATAATTGTTTGGTATATATTATTTGGTATAAATCCAGTTTTGAGAAATGATAAATCATCCAATTTGGTCTTTCAAAGAGTTCCTTTATGTTGTTTATATTGTAATATCTTTTTCTTGAGGAAACAAGAGATGCAAAACTCAAGCAAAATGTATTTTAGTCTCTGCAGTTTGGCATGGTGGACACGTTGTCCATTTTTCCCCTCTCAAGAAAGATAAGGAAAAGAAATTATGAACATTCACCCCAACAAGCCATTAAAGTTACAAGGTGTTATTAGTGTGAGGGAATATGAGAAAAAAAAATTATGTGTGTGTGAGTGAGAGAGCGCGAGAGCGAGAGCGCAAGAGCGAGCGAGCGAGCGATAGAGAGAGAGAGATAGAGATAGAGATAGAGATAGAGAGAGATAGAGAGAGAGAGAGAGATAGAGATAGAGAGAGATAGAGATAGAGAGAGAGATAGAGATGAGAGAGAGAGATGGGGAGAGATAGAGATAGAGAGAGATAGAGATGGAGAGATAGAGAGAGAGAGATGGATGAGGAGATGATGGAGAGATAGAGAGAGATGGGGAGAGATGGAGATGAGAGAGAGATGGGAGGAGATGGGGGAGATGGATGAGAGAGAGATGGGGAGAGATAGAGAGAGAGAGAGAGGGGGATGGGGGAGATAGAGAGAGATGAGAGATAGAGAGAGATGGAGAGAGATGGAGAGAGAGATAGAGAGAGATAGAGATGAGGAGATGGGAGAGAGAAAGAAAAAAAATAGAAACTAAGACAGAAAAATAATGATCAACATTGAATTTACATTTTTGAAGATCAAAGTTGACTGGAAAGTGTGATGCCAGAAGAGTGCAAGAGAAGAAACTTATGGTTACGTGTAGGCATTTTGACTGTAAAACAATGAGAGCTTGCTGCCAATCTAGTACTGCTCCTAGATTCATAATGTCTAGATACCATAGAGGAAAGTTCATCAGAACAATTTGCATGAAAATATTTATAGAAAAACCAGAGTAGCTATAGTATGGCAATGAGAAAATGACTGAAACCAAGATGCCAGGTTAGGACCAATAACATTGCAGATTCTTTGGATTTTATCAAGAATCCCTAAATACATAGCAGAAGCAATAGACCATATGTGACAGCAACATTCAATGCATCGGTAAATGGTAGATTTATAAACGTACAAGATATATACTGGTAAGAAAAAAATTGTCTACCAGAAAAACAGTGAACAAACTTTCCTAGCAGCAGACTGAACAATTGATTCAATATAATCCTTCCACTTCATGTCAGCAGAAGATGTTAGCCCGAGAAGGCACAATGAGTTGCTCTCCTGGGAGGTTTGCATCAGCCAAGAATAAAGAGAAAAGTTCTCAAAGACAAAAGACAGCTGTTTTGTTTTGGAAGCATTCAAATTATCATTTCTTGTCCCAATTAACAATAGTATCCCACTTTTGAAATCAGCTGCCAATTTGACCTTATCGATCCAATCGAACTTACCATTAAGACAGGAGTAAGTAATTGTGTCATCAGGAAAGAACAGACGTCCAAGAATAGAAACCTGGGAAGTAGGCCTGCATTAATACAATAAGATCTAGAAGAGTGGCCATTCAAGATAACTTTCATTTCATGATTTGATAAGATTGAATCAGATCAAAAATTTGTCCAGAAATACAAAAACAGCGTGCCAAATCCTGTCAAATAACTTCAAGATATCAAAAGCAGCAGCCTGAGCCTCACCATTCTTATCTAAAGTTTGATAGACTCTTTCACAGCAACAGTAGGCTCATCAAATATTTCAATATAAAAGAATTAACCATTCCAGTAAATCCAACAAATACATTACTCTACCTATGAACTATCGCAACAGCGGACTATACAATGAAAACGGAGATATATCTAATGGCACAGAAGAATCCTTATATTTATTCATATCTAATGGCACAGAAGAATCCTTATATTTATTCATATCTAATGGTATATAAGACTCTTCCCGACATTCCAAAGTGAAATTTTCATTATTTCAAACATTATTATATTGCATACTTTGTATTTGAAATAGGCAACTCATTTTTATTTATTAAAACTGTGATTATTAGTCTATCAGCCTGCACATTGAAGAAATCATTCCTTTGCAGAGATCAAATTGCATCCTCCTTTGTAAGAGGAACTGCCAGGGAACATATTTTCATTTACTGAATGCACAAGCAGTCCAATAGATTCATGAATGGCTGAGCTACTTAAATGGAATAAATAACAATTATGTCTATCACACCGACCATAATGATCTTACATCAAGGTCAGAAGGTCATTAGGATGGCATTCTGTGTCATAACTTATCTACTCAATGTCAGTGGTTGCTGAGCAACCAAATCATGTTGCTCCATGGCTATAGGTGCCCAGAGCAGTAGATCACTAAAGTTCTCAAGTGTCCTGCAAAGCACATTCTGCATTCATGTAAGATTGTAAAAATATTAGGGATGGGTCGATAAAGCTGTGATTTAGTTGGATGTTGTCTCCAAGAGAGGTTACGTATGGCTCACAGCATCCAAGCGTAGGTTCCATCAGGCATAAACTCAAGGGTTTTAGTTAATGTCCAAGCAGTGGCTGCATACATTAACACTGCCTCTACAGTAGCTCAAAAGAATCTCCACTTGCCGTTGTTTTGTAGATCAGATTTCCAAATTACAACCATTTTATTAGAGGTGTCCAAGGTTGCACCTATGTGAATTTTCACATCCTTTTCAGAATTCATTTCACTTCCTACATATGTAAAAAATTCAACAGATTTTATTTATTCACCTGAGACAGTTTGTACTGAACCTATAGACATAATATACACCATTTAATAAACAGAAATTGGGCATCTATTTCAAATACAGAGTACCCACTTTAATAACATTTGAAGTAAATTCCCAATTTCAAATTAGATCCATTACATAGTGAAAGTTCATAAAATCATAATAAATGTACAAATTAGGAACACAGATGAGTCTTCAAGAACATATGATGCATAATCCAACAAATTTTTTCTTAATATATCCTATTGAAATGTTGGTGGGTTCTTGACCTCACCCAAATATGTTAATGTTGTAGTAAAGAAAAGACTGTCAACTGATAGTAGCAACTGCAATAGATTTTTCCTGTTTCTCGACCACAACACTTGTAGCCAAATCGCAGTTCAAACGACAGTCTGTTGTAACAACCCAACAAGCAAAATAGAAACAACAAAGTGGTGTCACACGTCCAACCTTCTCACGAGCAAAAACACGTGTTCCACCGGCAGCTCAGAAAATCTTCTGCCTTTATAAGTGAAAAACAACGGCTTTGATTCATCGAGAGATTTTTCTGATTGGTCATGCCATTCAGGGGAGGGGAGAACATTAGCATAGATTCTAGTCACTGAAGTAGATTTTTGCTAACTACATTTTGTAATTTTTCTTCGGCATATCGCACACAGAACAAACTTTTTTCGGGGTAAATGATTATCTCTTTCACTACAGTTAATTACATAAACAGACTGTGAGATGATCTTACTAACTGTTGTAACCTAAAGAAGGTTATTGAATAGAATAATCACATGAAGGTTGGTAATGCACAATAATACTTAGGACAAGAACAACGCATATAAGATTCGCTAGCAGCACATAGAAGTAGTCAACTGCTAGAAGTGAGTAACGTGTATTCCACAATGAATCTAACTGCAGACCTGCACATACAGTATTCACTACCATATTCATGTGAATAGGGCATACTCTTTATCGTCTGTAGGCATGCTGCAATACTAACCACCACTCTATATTAAGCATACTACCCTAACATATGTTGATCTTGGGTATAATGATAAACTACATCTGGCAGCAAGGCCTGCAAATCTGAGACTGGAGATTTTGAGGAGCGTAAAACAACCTCTTAACTGCTGTTGTTCCCTGGTCCACCCTGACCCAGGGTGGTAGCACCTGTTAGGGTCCTAGCTAGGGGCAAATAGTGAACCCCTAAATAAAAGTAAACAGTATATTTTTTTATAATAAATTGAGTGGCAATACATTTTTTTTGCAAAATGACTGCAGCAATATAAAAATACATTTTTATAGTAAAATTACCAACAATATATTTTATGAACTATGACTTATATATTTATATAAAAAAAAACAAAAAAAACATGCATTTGCCCTGGAAGTTGAAAGCATAAATTTAGGTAGAAAATATTTAGATTTTGGCATTAAGTAACCCATAGAGGTTGATATGCCACTAAACAAAATCAATCAATCAACTCTAGCATACAATGCAGAATTTTGTAGTGACTGCATCTGGTATACTCCAAACATTAATTTTACTCAGGAGCTTATCACACCGAAATACCAGTTTGTGTACAATCACTGAAGTAACCGACCCTGGTCAGTACCTAGATGGGTGATTGCTAGGAACTGGAATTTGATGAGCTGAGTTCCAATTCCAGTTGGGTTTGTTATATTCACTTATGTGCAAATACTCTTGATGTATCCACCTCTTCTCCCCACCAGCTCATGAGTTGATTAGTAGAACTCATATCAGTAAATAATTATCTTTAAAAGAATTCTTACAATCCAAAAATATTTTCTGCCTTTAAGTAACCTAACAAAGGTTGATAAGCCGTAAAAAAACAATCAATTTTTTTCTATGAATTCTTTTACATTAAAAATCTTTTCTCTTGACAATCCACCTTCAATTGCCCATATGCCATCAAGAAAATCAAACCACAAAAGATGGTCATTTAGAAAACAAGAAATGAGACTGACCGACTACCAAAGGTGATGTGAGATCCATTGTCCTTGGGCCTTGTTCCGGTGGTTCATTCCAAACTTCTTCACCTTGAGTATCTAATTTCAACCAAGCTTGTTTACGGTTGCGTTCTACATGAACAGCATGCCAACGATCATCATTCAAACCTGCAGCCGTTCTTATCTGTAAGACCCGTTCACCATCACCAGCATCAAATCGGAATTTTATGGTATTACCACCTAGAAATCAAAAAGAAAAGGAAATTATTTGACATAAATGCTACAGTAAATTCTTTCTTAACATTCCATTAAAATATCTTCTACTGTTCATCAACCTGTGAGGATTATTGAAGTCATTCATTTTACTGATTTTATTTTTACCATAACACTTGATGATGACCGATCCATTCTACAGCCTCCATCAGAAATATATTCCATAAGAAAAGGTAGAAGGGTCTCTTCTTCCTGAAAATTGTGGTAAATACCATCCTGCTTGGTGCACTCCCAGCAAGGAAAGCAAGACAGATATAAGTGTGGATTTGCTCATTAAAGAAACAATTTAAGAGCACCTCTTTCTCTCTGCCTCATATATATATATATATATATATATATATATATATATACACACATACACGTGTGTGTGTGTGTGTGTGTGAATAAAGACAAAAGGAAAATTTATCATAGCTGACACATTTTATCCTCTGAGGGACTTTATCAAGGCAAATGTAAGGATTTTATTTTGTGACAAATATTTATATACAAGAGCAAAAATATTATTCATTTTTCAAACTTTTTCGGTATTATACCAAAAAATTTTGTAAAACCAACAACATTCTTGTGCAAAATAAAATCCTTCCATTTTCCTTGATAAACGAAACACGTCAGCTAAGATAATTTTTCCTTTTGTTTTTTTTCGTATTGTCCTTTGACAGATACTTTATCTGATATATATATATATATATATATATATATATATATATATATATATAAGTAACAGTAAGTACTGGTGTTAAAAATCTGGTCACCCACTATTATAACTCCAGTTATAATGTGGTGCTTGTTATACCATGCTCAAGTTTTTCATTTGTCAACTATTAAGTTGACAACAAAGAACTCCAGTTATAATGTTGCATTTTTATTCCATGCTTGTTTTCAAGTATCCTCATCAACAACTATTATAACTCTCTATTGTAAGGTTATTGTTATAACACACACTCGTACTTGGTATAACGTAATTCATTACAGTATTCTCTATACATAATGCTTAGGCTATTGCCATAATGCCTGTATAGTTAGTATGAAGACAGATTCCAATACGACTACTCTCAACCTCATACCATGAAATTCTTTATAATATTGGAAGAGTTTATAGAGTCACCAGGGGTGACACTCTTTACACCACAACACTAGCCTACTTACCAGTGTTGATACACCACAGGATTTAAGGTTAGCATTTTGTAACAGGTGTATTAGATGACCTATTTTTGGTGGTAATTTTTAAGATTTAAAGGTCACCTTTTACATGGAAATATACTTTTCTTTGCAAAAGTAAACTTTCAGATTGGTTGCCCATTTTAAACTTCATTTAACAGGCAATACAGTTACACCTACATCAACCCATTTATATAAAGCAATGGTTCCCAAATGTTACAGTGCACCTCACAAGTGCAGCAGAAGAGGATAGAAGGTGAGCCAGAATGATTGAAAGACAATCAAAGATTTACAAACGGTTTCAAAAAATTCATATGCTAAAAATATTTATTTTAAAATTTAAAATATTAAGGATTACTTCTAATTGCATGCATGAGGTCCAGTACAAATAGTTATAAATAATTATTAGTCAATTTTATCATTGTGATATTTTTCCATTATATCAAGTATTAAGAATATAGTAACTAGAGTCCACAAATTGGAGAAGAGAGTTATCAATAATAATGTTCTGACTTCAAATCTGCAGTTATCTCCATTTTCATTTTTAAATTTACTTTTTATCAAATAAAATTTTGTGAGGTGCAATCAAATTTTTATTCCAAAAATGTGGCCCAGAGAAAAAAAAAGTTTGGGAACCACTGACATAAAGAGTTGTCTGTCCCTGCTGACAACGAAACCTAAATTCAGAGCACTTACTGGATATTTCCACTCGAATGTAATCCTTTGGTCCAACACAATGGATCATCACACCGTCACGGATTGTTGTCTTGAACTGGAACCAAATATCACCAGAGCTTTTAGCTTCAAATGTTGGAAATTTAATGACAGCATCAGGTTTTCGGAATGTCACCACGTTATCAAAGAGATCTTATGAAAATAAATAAAAAGAGAATCATAATTATATTATTTTTTTTTTTTTTTTTTTTAAATCATTTCAACTTCAAGCAAAGCAATAATGTCACTAAGGAGTTCCTGGTAGTGAAAGAGAATAAGACTTTAGTGAGATGGAAAAAACAATAAAAGAACAGAATTCAGGAAGACAGAAGATTGCGATTGACATTGCACTTAAATTTTTTAAGATTGTAGGTGGCAAGAAAACAAGAAGGTGGAAGAGAGTTCCACGGGTGATAAGTGCAAGAAAAGAAACCATTAGAATATAACTATGGTTACATCTAGCTCTAAAAGTGATTTGGCCACAGAGGAGCGTTCAAATACAGTAAAATTCGACCTTGCTAACCGAACACTCCTCTGTGGCTAAATCAGTTAAAGGAACATCAAGCTAAATGACGGTTCCGTATAGGATACAGGTTCAAATCCTGTCGGAGGACAAATATTTTCTGTGAAAATTTCTCGGACATTCAGGCCGGTAAATGTTCTTTAATACTGTTTATTATAAACAGAGTATTTACTTAAATATTTGTATCTATAAAAAGAATGTATAAACATAAAAATGTCTTTATATATATATATTTTTTTTTTCACACATACTTCAAACATTTCTTTCATCTATTACTAATTCCAAACTTAAAGGTTTCTTAAAGTATGGAGAAGAATAAAAAAAAATTCTTTTCATTGAACTTACTGTCTCCTTCACATTTCAGTTTTCCCAGCTGATGTTCACCAATTTTATTGTCTGTCACAGTCCCAGTGTCACCAAAATGCAACTCAAGAACTGGCAAGTATTCTTTGTGCCGCAGAAAACCAGAGTCAACTTTTTGTTGAAGAAGACCAGCATCACAATTACAGGTTGTACTTGAACCTTCACATCCACTGGCTGTCAGTCCACACTCACATTTCTTGGAACCTGGAGCTGCCTTGCCCCAGTAGTACATTGGCTGGAACGTTCTTCCAACCCACCAACCAAAAGTTTCAGCATTACTGCCATCTGGTGCTAGAAAATTAAATATAATAATTTATAAATATGTAAAATTTGTGTGTGTATGTGTATATGCATGTTTCATTAAAAACAACAGACAAGGTACTATGATTTTTAATCTTTTTTTTTTTAACAGATATTTTATTAAAAATAATGGAAGCCCTAATAATAAAAAAGAAAAAGCCAACTCTTAACAATATTATCTATGAACAAGCCCACAATGTGCTAACCGTGTTGGGCTTTGGGAGAAAAAAAAAAAAAAAAAAAAAAAAAAAAAAGCTATAACACACTAAAAACACACATAATGCACACATTCAATTAAAGTAAAAAAAATAAAATCATCCTTGATAACGGCTAAAAGTATAGCCGAAAGTGCTCGGAACTATAGAACATTTGGACATTTTCTACACACAGTGTCCAAAAAAGAAAGCTCTTGTTTGATCACAAGAAAATTTAAATAAAAATCTTAATAGTACAGTGTAACCCGGATATAAGAGAAACCCGGATATAAGAGATTTTCTCTGGTCCCAAAGTGTTCCCATACTTACCTAAACAAAATAGACCAAACCCGGATATAAGAGAAACCCGGTTATAAGAGACTTCTTCTCCGGTCCCGACAACTCTCTTATATCCAGGTTACACTGTAGTACCTTGTCTGTCGTTTTTAATGAAACATGCATAAATGAAGGGCTGCTGCCTATGGTAGAGGATTACTGAATGATGTTGCATGAGCATAAAAGGATATAAGCGCAGTTTATAAAATTATATAGGATAGATAAGAGTTAACCTAAGACTTGAAGAGATTAAGATTGTAGTCAGGACCAGTGAAATAGTCTTGTGGCCACACCCCTAAATCTATACTACATCTCAATTTTCATGAAGTCATGTTCATATAAAATACAAATTTTATTGTAACCTCATTATGAACAATAATGGATCATATGCAATATATATGAATAATTCAACTAGAAAAATAAAATACAATGTATCTAAATACAAATTAGAGATAGGTCATACTAGATCATTCCATCTTAAATCAACAATGTTATACAAGTCAAACTTGAGATTTTTCTTGTTAAAAAGTTCAATAATTTTAACACATGGATAAAAAAATAGTGAATTTTATATAGTGCTTTTTCATGACTTAGCATTAGAAAAACAAATTCACAGATTTGGATGTAAAACAAAATAAAACAAAAAATAAAATAAAACAATAAAAAAAAGACCCCAAAATTACAAAATCTGAAAAATATTTATGCTTAGTTTAATTTGTAGCATATATAAATGTAGGTAGAAAAAAAAGAAAATGTTAAGATAGCAAGGGTCACATGGCGCTGCTGGGGGTGGAGCTCTCAATCAAGCTTGGGCACTACCAGTTGATGGGTTCAGGGAGGGTACAAGCTGACCCTGATTGTAGTGGTCAGTATAACACTGTTTGGGATGTTCATCTTACTGAGATACAAAGAGAATGAAAATGATTCATCCAAGTGAACATGGCCTGGTGGGCCTTAGCTGTGAAGGTCTCAATTGGGATAATGAAGGAATGTATCTCATTAAAACATTTACCATAAAAATAGTAATAGATGCTTGCTATGTTTTCATCTGTAGTAAAGGAGTTATAGGGTGGGAAATAATCCATCACCTACATATTATTTTCAGTATTAATTTTTAGTGTATACATGTTTCAATTTATGCCCCGTTTTCATTTTTTTTTTTTTTTTTTTTTTTTAAATAGTTTGATTTGGTTTAGTTTGCTTTCTTTTGTTTTATATTTAAATAAGTTTTTTGTACATTATTTACATAAAAAAAAAAAAATTACTAGCCTTCTCCCTGAGAAGGTAACAAATATCTCTTTCAGATGATGTGGCTGAGTTTGCATTTCAAACACCAGCCTCATTAGCCACAAACGACGTCATAGAAACACCATCTACCAATATCGCATTCAGCCTCATTAACAAAGTGTGCAGGTCAGTCAGTGGACTCACTCAACATTATAGATACTGTCAGATCTACATAAAAGCTAATTGCATTTAGCTCAGCAATAGGAGTGGTTCACGATGAGAGGTGGGGATTAAAATCTTACTAAAAGACTACAGGTGCCAGATGTCCAATATACTGGCAGTCAAGAAAGATTTGGGGAGGTGTGAAGTCAGCCTTGGTTGCCAAGACATTGGCATTGCTTGAATGAGTATAAACAACAGTGGACATCATCATGTGTTGACTGCAGTCGAGATCATGGAGTCCACAATGCTACACCAAACTTCCCAGTCCTTCATTGCTGTCCCAAAGTCCTGCCTACCAATGCCTACATTGCTTGAGATGATGATAGAGAATTATAGTTTTCTGTCCCTGGTCAGGTTTGACACAGGCTTCCAGGAGAGAGGAGACAACCTCATTATCTGCATGGAGGCAGTGGCCAGCAAACTGTGCTTGACAAGCTCATACGAGAGAGGAAACACGAGGAAGACCGCCATAGATTTGGTGGATGTTCAGATGGTGTTTCCAAGGGAGGTTTTTAAGCTCTCATTTGAAGATGTGACCTCAAAACCTCTCTTGAAAACAGTGGACATACAGGGTGTCATAACTTTCAGAGTGTGGCAGCTTAAAAATAAATAGTTATGTTGACAACAGGAACCAAACAGATTGGTAGGTTATACATGGGTTTTCCTCTTACCTTCAATATGCCCTGTGAGTGTCAAATTTTCCAATCCCTCTTTCCCCATTATGTGCCCGAGAAAATTCAGCTGTCTTTCTGATGTTAAGTATACAAGAATAATTTTTTTCTATATGCTGCCTCACTTCAGGACATTGGGAATCATGGCTCTCCATAATTTCCAGTCTTTTATAGCTTTTAATAAATTTTATATTTGTTCCACTATACATTTATTGAAGCTTGCTAGGTAGGTAGGTTACACATTGTTTTAAGAGATCAAAACAGCAAAAAGTACAGAACCTTATATCATTTCCCATCATTACAAGAAAAAAAAGAAACATTCTTACGCATTGCAAACAGACGTGAATTGTTGCACTTGTAGCTGATGAACTGTTCACAGGACGTGGCACGCTCTACGAGCTCATTGAGTTCTTCAATACCAGCTGAATAACGGACATTCCGAACATAGGAACCAGCAGGGTCATATCCATTCACAGTAACTGGATTCTCACTGTTATGACCAACATCAGTCTCAAAAATGGATTTGCCTGTACAAAAATGAAATAGAAAATACGAGTCATAAAAAAAAAATAAATAAAAATAAAAAAATTCTACAGGTTGGCGCCAGAAATATCAAACGTAACATAGTTAATCCAGAAAATATTCTGTTGCTACCACTTCATACTAAGCTTGGTTTTTTTTTTTTTTACAGTAAGGTTCACCCTGTACAAAGCCTGAGAGCCACTCAAGGTAGAGTGTTACAGAGTAAAAGGCACAGTTTATGCATATATGTGCATATACTAGTTAACCCTAGACTTGAACAACTTAACATTGTAATGATCAGGAAAATGTCCTCTTGGGAGTCAGTTCCAGAGAGCAGTGGTTTGCAGGAAGAAGCTGCTCAAGTAGACCTTACTTCTCACCAATGGAATATGGAGAGAATGAGGGTAGTTCACTACAATGTGCGTAGCATGGTGGATCCGAGCAGTGAAGTTTAGAACTGGTGGAACTAAAGAATGTAGTTCATCTGAGCACTTTCTATGGGAGTAGCAATAGAGTAGTGAGAGGCTTACAACATCTCATCTGTAGGAGAGGGGTTGCAAGATGGAAAATAATTTGTCACCCATAAGAATGCAAAGACTTGGACTCTATCAAGACTAAAAAGTGAGAACTCGGCAGCTTCTCCCCATATATGGCAACAATACTCCATTTTAGGCCTGATCTGGCTCTTATAAAGATAGCGGATAACATGAGGCATCAGGTACTTACTGGAGCAGTACAGGGAGCTGACAATTTTTCCTAAATCTTTAGCAATGGATCGTATGTACAAGTCCTACTTGAGGTTTGGATTAAGGTTGATGCCCAATAGTTTGCTCAAAGAATGGGTCCTCCCTGACGGAATATCCATTTATTGCGACCGAGTTCAAAAACTGTTTATTAAATATGAAAAACAGAACCTGCTTTAAGTATTTCTGCCTAAAGTTTCCTTGTTTTGGAGCTGACTTCAAAGAGGGTGTATGTACTAGACATGGTACCCAGAATGAGGGGTTTGGGTATCACACAAAGTAGTTTAGGAAATGGTTTTGAGAAGATCAATATGGTTCATTTGTGGAGGCCTAAGTTACACGTTTTTTGTTGTTTTTTTTTTTTTTTTAATCATTTCACCCTAAGCAAAGTTATTATAATGCAAGAGGTTACTGAAAGTAAGAGAATCCAAGAAAAACTAAGAAGAGGACAATAAAAGAACAGGATTCAAAGTGACAGAAGATAACAATTGGTACTGCATCTAAATTTTTGATGATAAAAGTTGACTGGAAAGCCAGAAGAGTGTTCCACAAGTTAGAGGTGTGAGAAAAGAAACTGTTAGCATAGAACTTGCAGTAACAGTCACCAATCTAGTACTGCATTTAAATTTGTAAAGTTAAGGTACCATAGAGGAATACTCTTCAGAATATTTACCATGAAAATATTATAGAAAAGGCACAGGGAAGCTACATTATAGCAGTGGGAAAGTGAGTGAAACTGAGATGCCAGGTCAGGATCGATAACATTGCAGATTCTTTGGATTTTGACAGCAGTCGAGATATAGAAAATACCCATATTTTCTGTAACGAGACAGCACAGCTAAGGATTTACATTAATACACCTTATTTATATATCTATCTCTCTCTCTCTCTCTCTCTCTCTCATATATATCGTCAAATCAAGATCCAGAGCTTTGATCATACTGATGCAGGCTTCCCAGTGACTGGGGTAGGGAACAGTTGGCTAGCTCTCACTCCTCCTTTCTAAGCATCCTTACCAGCGGGCTAATGCAGGCGAGGCTGCATTCCTGCATGTCTCTCTCAATGCAATTCTTCTAGGTCTTCCTGGGTCTACTGCGACGTGTGTGAGAGAGAGAGAGAGAGAGAGAATAATAGGTTGATGGATTGGTTTGGTTTATGGCATATCAACACCTCAATGGGTTATTTTAATACCGACAAGATTTTTAGGATAGTTTCATATGAATAGAATATGTATTCTTTGGTTTAGATTTGTTTGGTTTATTTTGTCTCACGGCACACCAACTCCAATGGGCTACTCAATACTGACAAAATTCTTTATTGCTATTAATATTTTGTCTTGTCAAAGATCTGTTTCTGTTAACATTTTTCCTTCAAAATTTTATTGCTGGTAATAATTTTTCCAAAAAGTATTGCTGGTAATAGTTAATACTTGGCCATAGCTGGGGCCCTAATAGGTGCTACCACCCTGGGTCAGGGTGGACCTGGGAACACTAGCAATTAAGTGGTGGTTTCATTCTCCTCAAAACCACCTGATCAGAGGCCTTGCTTCTGGACAGAGATGTAGTTTAACGTCTTACCTAGGACGGAATAGGTTGATAGAGTAGACCAAAGAGAGACAGGTGAGAAAAAAGGTGGCTGGGACAAGAACGAAAATGTTAAAAATAAATGATGGCATTCAAAATTCTTCCAATAGCAGCAATCCTGCAGGTTTTAACTATCATCAAATTTGTATTTCACTTACCCTCTTCATTGTTTTGAGAGCAGTCAACCTCAAATGGCCTCAATGGTCCAGAACCATCTAAATCAATTTTTATAGTTTCCTTCTTTTGGTTCTGGTTTTGCATCTTGTAAAAACGACATGACAAATAATGCGCAGCTGACAAAGAAATAAAAGAGAATGCAATTAATTCCAATTTAAATTATTTTATGGATGTTAAAGAGAACAAAAATGCAAACATCAGAAACAAACATAAGACATGTAAAGCAACATAAGACATGTAAAGCAACATAAGACATGTAAAGCAACATAAGACATGTAAAGCAACATAAGACATGTAAAAGCAACATAAGACATGTAAAACAACATAAGACATGTAAAGCAACATAAGACATGTAAAGCAACATAAGACATGTAAAAGCAACATAAGACAACATAAGAATGTAAAAAGCAACATAAGACATGTAAAGCAACATAAGACATGTAAAGCAACATAAGACATGTAAAGCAACATAAGACATGTAAAGCAACATAAGACATGTAAAGCAACATAAGACATGTAAAGCAACATAAGACATGTAAAGCAACATAAGACATGTAAAAACAACATAAGACATGTAAAGCAACATAAGACATGTAAAAGCAACATAAGACATGTAAAGCAACATAAGACATGTAAAAAGCAACATAAGACATGTAAAGCAACATAAGACATGTAAAGCAACAAAGACATAAAGAACATAAGACATGTAAAGCAACATAAGACATGTAAAGCAACATAAGACAAAAAAAAAAAAAAAAAAAAGACTCTGCAGAAAAAAAAAAAAAAAAAAAACTTATTACAGAGAAACCTTTTCAATCACCACAGCAGTAAAAGCAACAAACTTTGCTTTTATCCTACATTTGATATTTTCTGGTATATTTTCATCATCAAGTGCCAAAGAGTCTAACTGATACTCTTACTGTAAAAATAATGTTCAAACTACAGTTGAAGTTATAACTCAACTCATAAAAATCTTTTATCACCTAAGTTGGCTATGATAAAGTTGGCGTTTGAAGTCAGATTTCATAATGACTACAAAACTTAGAAATTGATTTCATGAAATGAATAATTGGTTAATCCTCCAAACAAATGCTTGTTGTAAAGCTTTAAGCTCATCTATCTTCAAACTAAAAAGACTGAAATGAATAAATAATATTTATTGAAACTGATAAAAAAAAAAAAAAAAAAAAGGATTTCCTCTTTTAATGGTGACTTGCAGTTTGAATTTGTTTATAAACCTCAGCTATAGCTAATAATTTTGGAACGCTTCATATCCTATCATCCCTTGAAAGTGGTATTATATCAAACCCTTCATCTAAAGACGAATGTTAACACCACTTGTGTAATATCATCCAACAAAAACAATTAAAAAGAATAATTTCTGCCTTTGATTGGAACTAAAATTTTGATTACAACCCTGGACAGAGATCTAATATCAGTGACTTGGTTAATGTAAAAGTTGGAATAATAGTATTCTGCAATCCACTGTCCCAGTGTTTGTAACTGAAGGTCATTTAAAGTGGTTCTTCATTACAAATGCTAGAATTGTTTGAATACTCCGATTCACTGCCTGCATTGTCTTCCTTCCTTGCTTACTTTTTGAAGAGGGAGATGAGATTCTATTAAAAATTATATCACTGTGTAATGTCTATTCCCTTCATCACAGTTTTCAACTTTTATCCACATACATTGCAAGGAATTTGTAGTCTTCTTCAGCCTGTCTTTCCCACTTAAAAGAAAACTACTTCCAAGTACTGAGCTCTTCATTCATTGAAGAGAAGATTAAATCTAAATTCTACTAATCCCCTGAGTAGGAGTCTCTGGTATAGAAAACAAAGTACATTAAAATAGCAAAACACATCTTAAAAAATTATCTTATGCTTATCTTCCATAACACCATTAAGGAGAAAAATAATTTGTAAAGAAAACGCTTGTTTGCAAAAGTTGAAGAACTATAAAATGTATCCATTTTTTTTTTTTTTTAAAGAAAATGTAGCAATTTCATTTTAGTCTCTGAAATAGGACCTAATCTCTAGAATTAGTAAACAAATAATCATTAAAAAAAAATAAAAATATTTTACAGATAAACACGTGTGTGAAATTTGAAGAACTAAAAAGATAACGAATATTTATGTATTTTTTCCCTATTTATATATTTAATATATATTTCCTTATTTTATAATATAAGTTCTGTTTGACATTTTCTTAATATGAATAAAAAGAACAACTGAGGCAAAAGTGATTTGAACCTGACAGTTTGGACAAAATACAATAAGCATTTTATAGTTTTAAAATGTATTATTAAAGAAAACATAAAAAGATTTAAAGTGTAAAATCTATCAATGAAACAAGTGTGATTTGAAATGGGGTTCAGTTGGTGAGGTCAATTTACTTAGTCATTCATTTGCACAAGACCCTGTGCTAACCATCACCACCATTACATACACACATTATATAGAAATCATGCAACAAGCATTCATTGGTTAATCTCCTCAAAACTAGCTCGCTGATTGGTCAGTTACAACCAATCAAACCGCCTGCACGCGACAAATCCATTTTCCCGCTCAATATGCTCCAAGCCTACCATGTGATACACAGCCATATATAAACAAAACACGTGTAAGCTCCCTCGTGTTTTCTCTTCATTCATCTTTCTCCTTGCTGCCAAGATGTAATCTTCAAGAACTCCCATCTTGACCTTTGCAGTCAGACGTTAAAGAACATTACCAACATTCACACAAGTATGAACTCTAAAATCTCTTCTGAACTCTTACTAACTTTACCAACTCACATTTCCTAACATACTAAAGGAACTTTATTCTTCTAAACTACAGTTTAATAATTACTTCATCTTTATGAGCTCAGGTACAAATATTTCCAAATCTAAGAGACATAACTATCATACCTTCAGCTTATATGCTTGTACACCAAACACTAATAAATTCAATTGTTATGTTTTGAAATCATTACATTCTGTTTTGTATTTTATACTATGTGCTATTTACATCAAATATAAATTGCATTGCATCCACGCATTGTCCTTAATCCCACCTTTCCTAGCCAAAGTAGTACACACCCTTACATAATGGTGACAACCCGCTACAATATTTGTAACCCCGTCACTACAACTCAACTGTTTTGCACAAAATTAACACAGTATACTCTCTTTTTGATTCACATGCACCTTAAGTTGTTTGTTTCTTTGTTTAGTGGCATATCAACTCCTTATGGGTCATTTAATGGTAAAATTTAATTTTTCTTGGGAGCAGTAGTAATTTCTTTGACAAAAATGTATTGCTAGTAATTTCTTTACTATGAAAATATATTTTTACTACAAAAATGTTTATACTTTCATAATGGTTCAAGCTCAGTTTGGGGGTTAAGTATTTGCCTATATTAAGGACCCCCTAACAGGTGCTACCACCACAAGTCAGGGTGGACCTAAGAACAACAGCAATTAAAATTTGCTTCCACACTCCTCAAAACCTCCCAATCAGATGCCTTGCTGATTGATGTAGTTTATCGTCACATCCAGGGAACAGATCATTGCTATACAAGGAGGTGTAATTACCTTATTTTTAAGAGTTGAATTTCTCTCATATTTCATCCACTAAATTTTTCATGCTTAGGCGATCAGGTATCTTTCAATACATGACTGACGAGACAGATTTTTTTCCCTGTAGTAGGTTGCCATTTCTTTCTGGGGTAGACCAGAAATTTCTATCTGACTACATGATCATACATCAGGTTATTGGTAATCCATTCTGGGTAAAAATCTTTTTCAGCACCCACTCTTACTTAAATATGCCACATGAATCCGTATATTTTTCTGCCATGTATAATTTCTAATATCACAACTGCATGGTAGATAAATCATTATTTTTTCTTGTACAAGTGACACCATGACACCAGATGGCAGTGTGTAACAAACACACAAATAGCAAAACTGAAAAAGTTAATACAGAGGTGGAGGTGTTAAAGGCACTGGAAAACCATTTTAAAAACAGTATAGTCTGAGTGGTTGGGTAGTTAAAAATTTCCTTAAAAAGAAAATAAACAAACAAAAAAAAATTGCCCCCCCCTCCATCTATTAAGCACCTAATATTATGAAACCAAGAGCAGAAAAACCAGCTTTGTAAAAGAATAGTATAGCAATAATAAATTTTGGAAAAATATGTCTAAAGACACACAAAATAACATAATACGCTATCATTTTTGACTGTACAAGTAAACAAGTACAATAAGTCATACCAAACCAACTTACAGATATGGCAAACTGCTCCTCTGTAACCAGTTTTATCACAATCACAACTAAAAGTTGACCAAGTCTGATAACAGACACCATTATTTTCACAAGGGTTGGGAGTGCACCTAGAAAGAAGAAAAAAAAAAAAAATCTTTTTTAAAATTTTAATTCCTTTTTCTCTTGGCCACATTCATATACATTTAAAAAAAAAAAAAAAAAAAAAAAAAAAATTATAGCAAATATACATCCATCATGTTGTAAAAAATATATATATATATATATATATATATATATATACACACACCCTAGTGAGCCAGACACGAAACGAGTATTTATATATATATATATATACACACCCATGTTGTTATGTTATATATATATATATATATATATATATATATATATATATACACACACACACACACACACACACAAAAAAAAAAAATATATACACCCATGTTGTAAAAAAAAAAAAAAAAAAATAACAGTTGCCAATGGAATTTGAACTTGGCTTGCCAGTTCCATTTTTCTGCATTGACAAGTGTTAATCTATCCTTTCAACCTCCATTTCAAATCATCATGCCAGAATTGGTGATAATTTGTTAAGGATATTATTTTTACTTTGATCTTAATTAAACTTATATTTTCAGGGCACACACATCTCAAATCATCATTTTCTCAGGGGCACGGACATCTTTAATGACTTATTTTCTCAGCATACTTGTTACACCTAAACTAAAAAGCCAGAACAAGTTTAGAAAAATATGATGTGCAGTGACTGACAAATTAAATCAATTACATAAAATGAATGTTTCTGTAGAAAAGGGAGTAAAAGTGAGCAGATAAAGTATTCATCATGTAAAAAAGAAGAAAATGATTCGGTCATCAGAAGAGAAACAATGAAACTCACCTATCTCGAATACTGCAAGTCCCAATGGTCACACCTTTTGTTGTCGCTCCTCTGGGCAATCCATCAGTGTTCGGCAAATTTGCAATGTCCAAATGACGCATACAACCAACAAATCCAACATTTGTCTCTCTACCACCTAAAATTGGGCAATTTAACCATTAAATTGGAAACTACATTTTTCTACAGCAAAAATAACCAAAGAAATGGTTTCCCTTTTAACAAGGATAAACGGCACCAAAGAATTAAAATAAAAAAATTTGAACAAAATACTTCGGTCCCAAAATAGTTGTTATATTTGTAATTAAAAAAAAAAAAAAAAAATAAAAAAAATAAACAATAAACTCAGTGAAACTGAAATAGTTTTTTAAATCATTGCTTGGAACTATCAATTCCAAGAAATATTTAAATAATTCATATTTAAAAAGAAGTCTCTCTTAAGACTGTCAAAGAGGGAGGACTTCCAGATGGTGCTCAGGAGTCCTCCTTTAAGGTCATGGTAGAATCTGTCTTGCTCTATGGCTCAACAACAAGGACACTGATGAAACACTAAGAAGCATCACTTGACGGAACATACACAAGGATGTTACGAGTTGCATTGGACATCAGCTGGAAGAAACACCCAACAACTGATGATGAGATTTAAAAAATTTGGGGGGTTTTGAAACATTGGACAATGTTTACTCTTTGTACTCACAAAAAACAGCGTGTCAAAAGGACAGTCATTTGACACTGCTATTACAGTATAGGCTCCCCTCAATGTTTATTTACAAGATTATAAAAATGTGAACCAAGTAAAATGTGATCTTTATTTAACATGTTGATTTGGGAATGTTTTATTGCATCACCAATTTTTATAAAATCTATAATTAAAGAATCTAGGATATGTCTACCACAATCAGTGTAACTTCTTTCTTTTAACTCAGAGTAAATTCTTTCATCCTTACACAAATTGCCCCCAAATCAACATGCGGACAACAACCAAATATGGATAAAAATGCCTTCTAGATGCGCTCACACACACAAATGAATATACATCCAATCCCACATAGACAAACCAGAATTATAATACACATAAACACCTGAATTAGACACACAAATGCTGCTGGACAATACAGATACATATCAGGTCTGCTTAGCCAATAAAAAACAAACAAAAATTAAAAATACCAGAATTTTCTTTTTCTGATGAAGTTTTAATAAATCTGATGTATTGTTCCTTATCCTATATTTTTAATCATTTTACTCCAAGCAAGGCAACAAAGCCACTAGGATGCAAGAAACTACACAAACACATACGGTTCAGTGGGTAAATTGTCACCACTTTATATTTTTAATTTTGCACATGCACATTGTTTTTGTCAATTGCACAGTATAGTAGAGTCAGTTGGGCACCATCTGTGAGAAAAAGAGCACTATGACGCAATTCATAAATCCAGAAATTTGGGAATGGCATGCTGTACTGATTGGCATTCATGCCAGAAGCTCCAATACGAAGATTTCAGAGTGTCTGGGTGTCAATTTGAAGATTCAGAAAGAGTTGAATGGGTCCAATGGTGATTACAAAGGCACGGCAGCTCTGAAAACTCACTTTAATCATTTTGATAAGAACTCCTGAATTTGTTGGTGAGAACTTCAAACTCAACATGGAGGAGGTAGTGGTACCCTGGTCAAGAGGGTGGCTGCTGGAAGACCCTGGTAAAAAGACTGCACTATTTCACACAAGCAGGAGAACCCAGTCATGACTGTCAGACAATTTCTGCGACCACATCACTTCTTACATTTGGCCACCTAACTTCCCCCTTGATTATTATGTGTGGGGTGCAGTTGAGCAAGAGATCAACAAAACTCCTTGTAACACCAAAGATGAACTGAAGGCAAGGATTATGGGAGCATTCACCAACTTAAACAAGGAAACCATCCAAAAGAGTTACAAGAGATTCCGAAGTCATCTGGAGGCCATGGTTGAAGCCAATGGCAATTTTATCAAATAAATTTACACTTTAGTATTTCAAGATATTTTTGTGTAATTTTGGTAAATATATCTATTAAAATGAGATGTCAGTCTTATTTTTATTTTTGCATAATTTAGATGTAATAAGGTGAAGTAATGGATAGCGGCTCAAATTGAGGAATCAGAGAGCAGAGTTCGAATTCCAGTCAAATCCATTATATTCACTTATGTGCTAATGCCCTTGGGAAAGGTACGAATCCTCCACCTCCTCTCCCACCAACTATGAGTAAATAGCAGGACAGACCAGGTTCTATAGCCTTAGATGGCAACTGGTCTACCACAGAAAGAAATGGCAATCTACTACGGGAAAAAAATCTGTCTCGTCCGTCATGTATCGAAAGATACCTGATCGCCTAAGCATGGATCACACATGGCACATAACTGACTGACTATACAGGTAGATTTCTTGCCAAAAAATTAATGTGTGACACTATAAAACAAAATCAACTTATACACAATTATATACAGTACTCTTTCCAGGTTGAGTATTTTGGTTAAAAATAAAAATTAAATCAAATTTTAAACTGCTAACCATTTTTTACCTTCAAACTCAAAATTTTAAAACTTAGTAAAGTTAGATATACCTAACAGAAAGGCAAATATTAAAAAGCATCTCAAAAATGGACCCTATTATAATACAATTTTCAGTCTCAGACCACTTCTATGAGGACATGCATTCATTCCCATTAATAATAGCAGGCCACTCATATTCGAGGATACCCGTCTACTAGGGCAGCTAACCAATCCCTATTGCAGACTCTCACCCAGGCATGTTTGTGTTTGTTAAACACCCACAGAGCCATCTGTGGTTTATACTGAAACTATACTGAGCAGACCTTAGTTACAGTTTCCAGGAGAGGGCGTGTTATCTAGCAGGATCAACAATCTGAACAATGCTAGCACACTCAGTTACGATAACTTATGACTTTCTGCTAACACAGCTACCAACGGCCATCAAGTGTTCAGTCTACCCAATTTCACTCACAAGGCTTGGGTCAACCCATGGCATGGTTCTCAGGCACTTTCCAAAGGTGCTGCACACTAGGATCATCCCCTTCCTGACTGATGATGTCAAGAAGTCACCTTCCTGACAAATCAAACATTGTGAGATTCAAACCTGGGTCTCATGATCTGAAATCAAATGTTCTAACCATTCGGCCACATGCCCATGCCTAACAGGCAAATATTAAAAATCATCTCAAAAATCGACCCTACTATAACACAATTTTCAGTTTCAGACCACATCTACGAGGACATGTGTTCATTCACACAGTGTTGTACCATACTAAGCTAATTTACTAAGTACCAATATGCACCTCAAATTTTACCAATATACTTCTAGGGAAGTATTTTCTAATGTTAATACTTCTTTTGTAAGGTAGAAATACCACACTTTTCCCAAAAGGCAATACTTACCTAAATGATAGTTCTGTCCGGCTTTAATATTCAGTTTTCTGGATGACACAATAGAATTTCGATCCACTGTACAATTCACCTTTTCTGTATCCACTGACAAAAATAAGCTATGCCATAATCCATCACTGAAGGACTTGGTGGGACTCTCAACATCATCTGTAAACAGCAAAAGGACATTTTTTTAAAAAATAAAGAAAAATACAGTAATATGCCAACTAATGATACTTCATTTAGTGCAACTTGAAGTGCTATTCTCCAAATATATTTTGTGATAAATTTAATAATGGTTAAATTTTCAATAACAAAAGACAACATGATGATCAGTTGGTTGATTTTGCTTAGCGGCATACCAACATCTCTATGGGTTATTTAATGATGAAATCTAAATATTTTGAACACAATCGCATGCTTTCAATTACAGATAAAATGTATTGCTGGTCATTTTACTATAAAAAAAATGTTTATTGGTCAATTTACTATAAAAAGGTATTGCTAATATTTTTAATATAAATGTATTTTTATACTTTCATAGTAATTTGTTTTTGTTTGCGGGTTAACTATTTTCTCATAGCTGGGACTTTAACAGGTGCTATAACCCCAGGTCGAAGTGAACCTGAAAACCAATTAAGAGGTGGTTCCATACTCCTCAAAACCTTCAATCTCCCAATCACAGGCCTTGCTGCCAGATGCAACTTATTGTCATATCCAGGATGAGATTCAGGGTAGAAAGAAACTGATTGAGGGTACATAAACTCTCAAATTAGGAAAATAAGCAATTCATTTTTATAAGAATGAAAAATGTGGGTAATTCAGTTCGCCCATCATTAGCGATGACTGAAATGGATTAAAGTGCTTGCTTTCATCCAGTCCTCCGGTCTACCAACTGAGCTATCGCTAGTGACCACTTATTCTCTCAGTCTCGTTAGTATGCCGTCACACAAATAATGCACTGTCATCTTCCTCCCAAACTCGATATTTATGCCCACATTGGGGGCAACTACAATTTGCATACGAGACTTTCTCCTCATTCGCCCAAGACTTCTGATTTTATAAATTCAAACTGGTTTGAATTCTTAGTCTTTTTTTATTATTAATTTTTTTCCCCCTGCATGTCCACCCGCAATCTTTCAACAGGACCTGACACGCCAAGCAAATTCGTTTCGCGGGAGGTAAGTATTCTCGTTCTTCACAACAAAAAAAAATTCAGCAAAATTAAAAACATTTCTTCTGACGAGTTCTACTAAACTTAGCACAGATATCTGCACTGCTATACTTAGTACAGAGAAATATTGAGTACATTTAGATTGTCTTCATAGAAAAGATTTTTTTTTTTTTTTTTTTGAGAACAATAACAAGAATAGGAAAGTAGCTGAGAATGAAAGAGAAACTAACTGTTTCTGATGATATCTTCAACAATTTGTCCTGTCTGGCTCTCCACATGATACAATACGTAACCTTCAGAATTCAATTCAACCTACAAAACAGAGAAGAAAAAAACATTTTGTATTAAGAAAAATAAGAATCTCTTGTTTTTAGCTCTCTAGAATTGAAGACAAATGATGCAGCCAAAACAAAATAGAAACGGAGTTTGTGTTATGGCTGAAATTGTTGCATATTTCTACCCACCTAACTTGTTACGAACCCAAGCAAAATCTTCAATTTTGAACACTGATTTTCTAAGTAGATTTTTTCTCATTCAGAAGATTGGGGCCATATAATCTTTCTAACATTTCCATTGTTTTATCTTTGCATTATACTAAATAAAGTAAATATCAAACTCAACAGGTTTCCTTACTTGGATGACTGGTGATACACAATCTCCCTACTTTTATTTCTAAGCTAAGTATATTAAAAAAAAAAATATTCTGCAATATGGAATAGTCAATTATTCACCTTACAAAAAACAAAACATTAAGTTTTATCTATTTCTATATAAAATTTCATTTGAAATGTCAAAAACATTTCTACATAGCAAAACAAAAAAAAAAAAAAAAAAAAACAAACTTTAAGCCATAATTAAAGTAATGGCAAAGTTTATCATGTTGAATCTGCAATTTTATAACTCAAATGGAAGTGCTCACTCCAACATCCGAAGCTGATAAGACAAACATACCTTAATTTCATCAGCTCTATGCATCCACTTTAGAATACTCTCTAAAAAAAAAAAAAAAAAAAATAAGCGGGATCATAAAATATCAATTCTGACCAATCAGAAAGATCCACAGTTTTCATAGCCGTTTCTGGGCCAATAACTGACTATAAAGCCAATGTCAATTTCACCCATGAAGTGACAGACCTCCACAGCAGGCAAACTTAACCAGGCCATCAACAGCAACACCAAGATGCAAACACCAATGCTTTCAGTCAGCAACAAAAACCAGCATTGTCAGAAACTAACACCTAACAACTACAACGTGATAATTCATGTTCATTTTCTCCCATGAGTCCATCTCACTCGGCTACATATGCATGTTGATTTGCTTCATGCATCTATTTTGACAACTATCTCAGGTTATTCCCAGTCTCCCACAACTGATGTTCAATATCCCAGAAAATATTTTATAAATATACGTTAATATCACAGCTGTTACAATGAAATGATTTTGAAAGAAGTCAGTTAAAAGTATGTCATCTAAGGACCGAAGCTGAATCAAATTTTGAGGTTACCTCATATCTGTTGGAGATTGTGTAGACAGAAATATGGAAATACTGTCCAGCAAGGTTTTTACATGTTTTTTTCATATAATGTAGCTTCCCTCTGTTTTTTCTTTAAATATTTTCATGACGATCATTCTAATGAGCTTTCCTCCTTGATAGCCCAACTTCATAAATAATACTAGATTGGCAATTAGGTCTCATAGTTTTACTGTTGGATTAGCTAGATGTAAACACAAAATTATATTCTAATAGTTTTTTTATCACCTATGAAACTTTTCTTTTCTGCCACCAACAACCTTCAAAAATTTAAATACAATATCAATCGCTATCTTTTGTCTTCCTGAAACTTGTCCTTTTATTGGCCTTTCTCCTCATTACAGTCTTCTCATTTTCTTCCACTCCCAGTAGCTTCTTGTGTCTTAGTGGCATTATTGCCTTGATGGAGTGAAATGATTAAAAAAAAAAAAAAAATTTAATTGAATTTTGAGACTGCCCCATATTTATTACAGACTGCAAAATATATTTACATATATTTTAATATTTATGCACAGAATATCTAAAATAGGAAATTGAGGAGAGCCATGATCGCCAATGTCCTGAAGGGACATGGCACAACATTTCTCTTTGGTTATCATAAGTCACTTAGGTAATTAGATTAACCAATTTGATTCTTTATAGCTTCTCAGCCTTTACAGGCTATTTGAAACAAGACAATATTTTTAGATTGTTAGAATTTTCTGGAGATAATGATTTTACTGATACAAGTTCTGCTAATTACCCCATAGCTGGGGGAAAAGATGTGGATTCATAACTTCTCCGAGGCTAATTGCATATAACGAACTCAAGTGGAATTGGAATTCAGCTCTCCAATTCCAAGCCATTATCTATTACACCAACAGCACATCCAAGTTTACAGCACCTGATATTCCCATCTAGGTACTGACCAAGCTTGAGGATGCTTAACTTCAGCAATCATACAAGAATTGGTGTTTCAACAGGACATGGTCGTTAGTTCTTAGGCAATTACACAGTACTTGGTTGAATTGTATTAATTAACACCAATAGACACTCAAACTAGAAACTCTCAAAATCAAGTTCTGCTTTCTTTACTTAAGAACTGATCTCTAATAAGATCTGAAACTGATCTGATTATCTTATCTAGTATAATCACAGATCTCCTCTTGTCTATAAGCTTATATATGATAGCACATTTGATTTAGTAGTGAAATGTGTGATAGCCCCCTAACCATACTTTCTTGAATACACATTCAATATATTTGCTATATGCAACAATATGGCAGGAAATAAAACATTTACTCACCTTGACAAAACCTTTCTCACTAAATTCATGATAAAAGATAAGTCCGTCTGTGTTGTGTGTTCTAAAATCTAAAGAAGCTCTCACAGTGCCAGAACCAACACCGCTTGGTTCGCCAACAACATCCATGCTGGCAGTGATGGTAGGAAAGGTGATAGGTACAATTTTTTCCAACTGTAAATATAAAAATAAATAAATGCATGTGTTATTATCTGAAAAGAGACAGCATTAGTCACTTTTAATTTTTTTCATAATTTCTGAAAAACTAATGAAAAGAATCCATGGAAATATTTTCATTATTAATGTACACAATATATAAGCATAAATTATATTTGACAATACCATATATACTTGTGTATATGCTGACTTCATATATAGCATGACCCTTGAATTTTGGGGCATGAATTTTAACCCCTCCAGAAAGTGCAGGATTTTTAACTTGTTAAAAAAAAAAAAAAAAATTTAAAAAAAATGAAAAAAAAAATTTACCAATATAGAGTGTAAACCCATGTAACATTACATAAGTATATACAGTAATTGCTTTACTAATGTATATTGTAACAGAGAGAGGTTGATGCACATGAATGCACACACGCAAATATGTTTATTGATTGAAGATGGAAAACATGATCTTCCGTGAAAGTTGCAAACTGTGTCAGTGCTATTAATAGGAAAGAATCTAAAACAATGATATATGAAACCTGAGATGGCTGATGGATAAAGAATAAATTTCAAATCAGGTTGGCAAGGGCTTGTTTATAAACAAATGCAAAAGGGCAGGAGGTGATGTTTAATTTGGGTCATTAAAAAAAAAAAATATATATATATATATATATATATATATATATATAGACAAAAATAATATTTTTGATAAAAACATATTGAAGTAAATTGGACCGGGAAGGTAAGACCAGTGTATGTTTACCGCTAGCGAAATCTGATCTAAACATAAGTTGTATCCGCTGAATTTGGTCATCGAAAGGACAATTGAAATGAACATTGAACTAATTAATTTTATCCACTAAGAGATTTGAAATAGATCTGAATTTAAACTTTGCTTATGGTGACACTCGTGTTAAGTGCGTGAACAACCTGGCTTATAACCTTCGGTTTGCTATATAAACACGAGTTTTGCCGAGTTGGGGAGACTTGGACGTTAGACGAGAGTGACGTAGAGAGAGAGAGAGAGAGAGAGACTGTCATTGCAGTGAGTCGGTCCAGTGGCGAGTCAGAGATAAGGACTTCAAGAAATATCGTCGTTGTAGCAGTCGCATTGAAAAGTCGCTGAAACTTAACGTTTGTCACTTACGACAACCAACTGAAGAGCTACACTTCCATGCAGGGCTGGAATTACGAGTCACATATCCTCCCAAGTTGATTTGGAATGAGTTAATCACACACACGCCTCTCTCTGTTGGTATAATTGGTAGAGGAGTGGTCCTCTGTTCTAATGTTAATTGTTTTTCTATCCTTTCTGTAAACTCTTTCTACTGTTGTTGTCGTTTTCTTATATAAAAGACATCAATATTTTACCTATTGTTGTTCGGCTTCTGCAGATATTATTTCCTTGTTTGCCACATTCTAATTTTCCTGCCACACACCCTCACAGCCATGCCTACATCCCCAATCAACTGTGAACGTATGGACAACACCCCGCTTACTGGATCTAAAAACTAACACAACGTGGGCAGCAGGCAGAACTTGGCCAGTGACCGGTCAAACAATCTACAGGTACTCAGGGAGCATGCAGCCAGCTACCTCTGAGTTCGGTTCAGATCGAGTGGGCACCTCAACCCAAAGAGGAAGATGCCGGAGGTTGAGGGACTGAAGGGACAAGTGGTAGATATGATATTCAACAAAATATGTATAAATTATAGTTTATATGCTATTATGTTGTAACAACAGTTTTATGAATTTCATTGGATTAACCAAGTTTCACATTTTTAGCTAGCTTATTCAAAATTCAAGAAACAATGTTGTAATTAAAAATTGCACTCATAGAATATACACAAATTTACAAAGTGAAACATTTTAAACAAAAAATGAAAAAAATGTGTAATAGTAATTATGATTGATTAATTTGCTTATTTTGCAGATTATCAACCTTTTGAAGGTTATTTAAAGCCAGAAAATATTTTTAGGTTGTAAGATTATTTCTGGAGATAATAATAACTAACTGATACAAGTTGTATTAATTAACCCATAGCTGTAGGGAGAAGATATAGATTCATACCTTTCCCAAAGTTATTTGCACATCTATATAATAAATGCAAATAGCAGTGTATCATTGCATCAAACTTTTTCAATTAAAAAGACAACTCTCTAACTTTCAATAGCTCATGTTACAGAAGTTTTCATTATTGCAATTGTTTTTAGTGATTTTTGCAACAAATATTTTTGTATGATAACAATTTTTATAACATGGAAATAAATTTGGAAATAACCAAAATTAATGGCAAAAGTCACCCATGAAATAAAAATAATTGTTTGTATGGAAAGTAAGGACCTACGCACACCAAATTCTCTTTAAATTAAGTGGTAGCAGAAGAATTATTGTTGAACTTTTAAAATGTAAGCCTAAATATTAATGCAATACTTAAATCCAACAATCAATTTTTGCCTATCACATATGGCAGCAGTATGTTTTGCAAAACGGAGGACCAGGTCGCAATCAATAACAGCCAAGAAAAGAAAGTCCCATGCAAATGAAAACCCAGATGAAAGGAGAGCTTCCATTGATGAGAATATGCAAAGACCTAGGGCCTCTCAAACTTATGAACAAGCCAAAGGCCCAATCAAGAGCTCTCCAAAGGAGCTAGCTTAAATGCTGCCCTATCAGGTAGCTTTTAAGCTAGTAAGTTAATATAAATGAATCTGACTAGTATTGAACTTGGCTCTTCAATTTCCAATTACATACCAATATCTATTTCACTACTTGCACATCAAGCTTACAGAACCTGCTATTCCTAAGTGGTCCCCCATCTACATACTGACCAGTGTTTTAACAGGATATGGCTGTAAGCCCAGTGTAATAATAAAGTTGTAAAGGCAACATAAATGTGTAATGTATGCTCTATATTCTGAAAACAGTTTCAGAAGTCGTTTATTTATTAATTTTTTTTGAACTGTAGATCTTCATATTAAATAGATTGCCGTGTTCAAAATAGCATTTCAATTTTATCTTTGCCAGCAACATTCCCAATGGCATCAGCTCTCAACTTGGTAAATATGCTCATGACACACCCATTTACTCCTGTCTTGAAGGTAGTTCTCATCAGTCTAATAAAGTCCAGTTGGTGGCTGATATCTAAAACTGCCTTCAGTTCATTGTTAAATGGAGCAAAGGATGGCTTGTTAATTTTAATGCCTCAAAAACTAAACTGCCTTGTATTAATCACCTAAGAGATCCTTTCCTGTCTTCCATCAGCATGGCTGATGCTAACCTCCAGGAGAGTTACTCAATACACTTTCTTGGGCTAAATTTCTCAGTGCACATGAAGTGGAAAAACTATATTGAATTCAATGCGAGGTCAGGTACTAAGAAAGTTAGTTCACTGTCATGCTAGACAATTTTTCTCTCCAGAATCTTTCTTAGATATTAATAAGTCTACCATTCACCCTTGCTTAGAATATTGCTGCAACATATGGTCCAGTGCTCCCCGCTATATATCTAGATATCCTTGATAAAATCCAAAGAAGAATCTGTAATAATATCAGTCCTGATCTGGCATCTCAATTTCAGTCACTTTCCTACCATCGTAAAGTTGCCTCCCTTTGACTTTTCTATAAATACTTTCATGGCAACTGTTCAGATGAGCACTTTGCTATGGTACCTAGACTATGTATTTAAGCACAGTACTAGACTGGCAACGAGGTCTCACCAATTTACAGTTGAGTTAAATGTAGCCATAAGTTCAATACTAACAGTGTCTTTACTTGCACTTCTTGCTTGTGGAACTTTCTTCTGGCTCCATGCTTTCCAGTCAAAATTAATCTCCATAAATTTAAATGAAATCTCAATTGCTATATACTGTCCTCCTGATTACTAGTCTCTTGTTCTTGCTCCCAAGTAATGTTTGTTTTCTTCCACATCCAGTAACACCTTGTGTCTTAGTGGCTTTACTGCCTTGCTTTGGATGAACTCAAAAAAAAGGTTATTATTCTTCTTCAGAGCATTTTACAAGTCTTCAATTAGCATACAAATCAGGCACTTCTTTTGAACATTTTATTCAGGTCTTTATCAATTTTCTTTTAATCAGATTTGACAGAGCATTGTCATGGATAAAAGCATGCTTTCAGATAATCAGGTTAGACCAAAACAGAGTACTACTGCTTTATTCAATTCACAATTTCTAGTTTTGATAAGAGTTCAAAATCATCTATGCAACCTTGCAGGAGAAAACCTATTCACCACTCTGCAGCCTCTTACCCAGACAGTGGCAGTCTCATCTAAAAATATTTGTTACCAGAAGACAAAAGGGGCCTACTTTCAACTACAATGGTATCATTTCATTTTCATAAGAAATAAAATATTTTATTATATATATATATATATATATATATATATATATATATATATATATATATATAAGGGTACAATTACAAATTTTGCAGAAAAAAATGTATATATTTCATAGTAATTACAGAGTACATGTACTGTACATATTATTGGCAGGAGATAGCAAATCTAAATACAGAATACTATAATTATTTTTTTTTCTATATTTTTAAATTATAAGTAATTAGTTGATATTTTTAAATAACTTGCTGCACAATTTACACATTAACAGATAGTTCAAAAGCATAATAGAGCATTGCATGCAGCCCACTATATTAAGAGCAATCATTTGTGTTCGCTAGACGATTGTACGAATCTGCCAATAATTGCTTCTGCATCCACTTATCTAACAATTCCTTTTCAATGGATAACAACATGTATGATTCCAAATTCTCAGACAGCCAATTTCTTAACCTTGTCTTTATGATCTTTAGCTTTGAAAATGTCCTCAAACATCAGACTTGAGTAACAGATAATGTGCAGATGACTTTATAAAGTTCTTATTTCTTTTTTTATTACTGAAACAGTTGTCTGTTTGTTTCTATGTTGCATTTTTATTTGGTATAGGGGATCCAACCTATCAGGTGGCCAACTGTCATCAGGCAAGTGGAAACTGGCCAGTCTGCTACTGCCCATCACAAGTCCATCATTACTTTAGGGGAAATACTCAGATGAATCCCATTTTTTTTTTTTCAGACCAAAGACATGACCCGCTGCTTCCACAGGGTCACATCACCCACATTTCTTCTGTATTCCAAATTTAAGGAGGAAGTTCCACTCAGCTTATTTTGTGGAATTGACTTCTGCATGGATGCTTCTCTGAACATTATAATCTCAGTGGCTCTAAAATCTTGTATTGACCAAATTTTAGTATTTAAAAAATAAAAAAAAAAAAAAAAAAAAAAAAAAAAAAACTCACTTTACTCAATAAAGTAAGTTACACAAAAGAATCTTGCATATATAGATTTTTTGTTGAAACAAGACCGGGATTAATCTCGTACAAAACAAGGTGGGTCCTACCTAAGGATTTATCAATGATTTTAGGCAAGGTTTTACAAGGCCAATTGCTCTTCCTGATACCCAATTCAGACACTCACAGCAGTCCAAGTATACTGAGTATTTTATCAAGACACCACCTCTAGACAGGTTGCTATTCAAGGATTTAGACCCACATCCTAGCCTATACACAGGGTGCAATGGATAAATTGTCTAAATTATGCAAAAATGAAAATAACACTGGCATCTCATTTTAAGATATTTTTACCAAAATTATACAAAAATATCTTGAAACCGTAAAGAGTAAATTTATTCAATAAAATTGCTATTGCCTTCAACTATGGCCTCTAAACGATTTCTGAGGTACCATATCTTTGTAATCACCATTGGACTCATCCAAACACTTTCCAAAACCACTGCACTGTCCTCAAATTGACACCCAAACACACCGAGATGTTTGTATTGGAACTTCTGGTTTGAATGCCAATCAGTACAGTATGCCATTTCCAAATTTCTGGCAGAGTGAATTGTATCATGATGCTCTTTTTATCACAGACGGTGCCCAACTGACCCTACTATACTGTGCAGTTGACAAAATCAAAAACAAACAATGAACAGGTGCAAAAATATATAGTTTCTATTTGAATGAGGTAACAGAGTCTAAAAATTGTCCATAGTGTGTTGTCCCAAGTGCTTTCAGCCATTTCTTTAGCCATTTTCAAGGGGTTTTGTTGTTGGGTGGTGTTAATTTCTTTTCATGCTTGTCTGAGATGTAGTGCATAATACCTATATAGTAGTAGTAGTGTTTATCCTGAGCTCCATGAAAGAAAATGTGGCTGGAATTTGGGTTGGGGCCTGACGTTGACTTGCTATTTACTTTTCATCACTCTTGGTATATCTTTTCAGGGACATAGCACCCTCACCACAGTCCTATGATTGGCACCTAAACACGTTGAAACATTTGGATTGGACCTTCTGGCATGAATGTTAATCGGTACAGTATGCCATTTCCAAATTTCTGGTGGAGGGAATTACATCATGATGCTCTTTTTCTCACAGACACTGCCCAACTGACCCTACTATAATGTGCAGTTGGCAAAATCAAAAACAAACAATGCACAGGTGCAAAATTAAAAATATAAAATGGTGACAATTTACCCATCGCACCTTGTATGTACCACCACAAAAAAAAAAAAAAAAAATGACAGTTTATGAAAGGGTGTATGATAGAGGAAGGAAAAATTATTAAATTCTGAAGTAGATACAAGACATTTTTTTTTCAAGTGAGAGCTATTTTATGCATTAAGAAAGTGAGAAACAGTGAGAAAATACATAAAAAAAATTGAATTTACAGTTATCAACCATATATCTCATATCAACTGATTTTCATTATTATTCATTGTATTCAAATTTTTACTTCAGCTAATTGCATGAATCTTTTTATTCTTTACTGCTTATCAAATCTTTGTATATATATATATATATATATATATATATATATATGTGTGTGTTGCCATTCTAGATTTTACGTAGTGTGATGAGTAAATTGTCGCCATTTTAGATTCCATTTTTTTTTTTTTTTAAAGCCAAAACATTTTAGATTTTAAGAATAATTTCTTTTTTTGTGAGTGACTATTTTAAGTTTTTTTTTTTCATAATAATTTTTTTCAGATACTACTTAACCCATAGCTGAAGGGAAAAGATGGATACCATCCTCACCCAAGGATATTTGCACATAAGTGAATGCAATGAATGAGACTAAAATCTGAACTCAGCTCTGATTTCTCATTGTGAGCCACTATCCATTACACCACCTTCACAGCCTTACGTTCACAAACAAATTTCAACAGAAGTTATATATCCACCCATGTTGACCAGATTGTCCATACAAAATCTCCAGAAGTTCTCAATGAATTTTAGTTGAAGGGTTAGTCAAAGAGTAACTGTTTGAAAGGAGCAAAGAAAATTATTTCTGCTTAATGTTTTTTTTTTTTTTTCTCTTTTCTTCATTGAAATATTTCATATCTTTTCATAAATTTAGTCTCATCAAAAAGTACACTGAAAAAACTGAAACTTAAAGTTGTCTGATCTGGATTGTAATTGTGAACCAACTTAAAATTTCTTGTTATCCTCCTCAGATTACATTTTTCATCAACTTTGGACATATTCCTCCACATTTTACACCTTGAAATTTTACACCTTGAAATTTTACACCTTGAAATATAAATATTTTTATATTTTCATAGTTTACCAGTTTAGGGGTTAACTATTTACCCACAACTGGGACCCTAACAGGTGCTACCACCCCATGGAAAGGTGGGCCAAAGAACAATTGATGATATTTTAGTGAGACAAGACAAGACATTCCTACATTAAGAGAGATTTCATATATTTGTTGTAGGATACCTACGGATGATAATGGGTAGGTCCAACATTCATATAAATACAGTAATAAATACTGTAAATATTGGTCTGCAGTTGGAGATTTGTCTCCAGCTGTGCTGGTCAAACTCTCTGCATCTAGGCAGGGAGGATCCCCAGATGAGACTATGTTGAAGAGCAGAGTCTTGTCTCAGGGAAACAGCTACCTGACCCCATTTTATACAGAGTCTACAGGAAATTTTTGGCTGAACATACAGGCTCAGATACCCCACATTAAATTCAGTTTTGTGCCACATCTGACAACGTAGGGTGGTTGGTATATATCCTGCAGTTGGAGATTCATTGTGGAATTCACTTGACTAACTTCTAGCAGTTGACTACTACTTCTACATGGCACTGGCGAATCTTATATCTGCTGTTCTTGTCCTAAGTATTATCGTTCATTACCAACCTTCGTTTAATTATTCTATTCAGTAACCTTCCCTAGGTTACAACAATATTAATACAAAATAAAAAATATATTAAAAATCTAAAGCTATTTACTCTGTACAATATTTATAAATTCCTTCACTTCATCAACAGATTCTTGTGTTTATATACTTTAATATATTTACACATGTTTATTATTGGTGGTCTGTCTCTGAGAAACGGTTATAACAAGCTGTTGTCACGGTGTAGTCCAAACCAGATTGTTCAGTTTTGAGTGTTGTCAGTGGCATGCACTTTCTGAAGACTTTCAACTTTTCTTTAGGCATTACAAATTTCAATTTAATAAGAACTCTGAACTTACCTGACACTGGTATGGAACAAGTCCAAATGTACTGAATCTTTCCCTGTTTTCTCGAGCATCACGGATTATCTCTACACCATTAAATTGAGCATTCTCAATACAGCCGTAGAAATTGTAGCGGACAGTTACACCTGGCTTCGTGAAAGTTGGAATGCCTCCGACAAAGAGCTAAAAGATATAAATAATCCTGATTACAGAATTGTCAGATAATTTAAAAAAAAAAATAAAATAAAATTACATCGTCAGCTCTTCACTAGAGTACCTAGACTTTTTGAATTTCAACACAGTACTAGACTAACATCTAGAGCTCCTCAATTTACAGCCAAGCTGACTAGATGTGAACTATAAATTTTATACTATGTTTCTTCTCTCACATGTCAAACTCCCTTCCAGCTCCATGCTTTAATCCTTTGTCATTCTGTATGTGACTTCATTTGCTGTACAAAGTGCTTATCCTGCCACTGAAGGTGACTGATCCCTGAACAATAGTGTATTTGGATTTCGTAGTTGTCATTTTTCGCTATGGCAACAGAAAACAACTTTGAGTGAAATTGATAAGGATAATGCAATTGATAAGCCTTGAAAAAGAATGCAGTAAAATGGGAAGTAATATTAATAATGCAATGTGCGAAAGATTAATCTCCAAAAATTTAAATGCAATGTTGATCTCTATCTACGGCCCTCTTCATTACTCTTTTCTCTTGTCACTCATTAGTAATGTTTCTGTTCCTAATTCTCTGCACCCAGTAACCCTTTGTGTCTTAGCTTTACTGCTTCACTTGGGGTGAAATCAATCAATCAATCAATATATAATAAAAAGGCTTAAACACTAATATTCCATTGGAATCGTAAATACGATCCAATTCATCAGACCTACAAATTCAAAAAGAAAACAGAAAAAACAACTCCGGAAATAAAAACAGAATTTTATATCCTTACTCTGTCCTGGACAGAGAGTTCTACCTGGATTCTATCCTCTTGAAATTTTCATTCAAAAAAAATATACATGTATGGGTATTTATATATTTTGCATATGTATGTATATTTACCACTAATATTATATATATATCATAAATTTACTAATTTAAAAATATGCTTCCATTGCTACACAGGAATTACCATGTTTCAAAAACAGAAGCTAAAAACTTCAAATTCAATTATAGAATTAAATTAAAGTCCTTAGTTCTGCTTCATTTTCAAGCAAATTTTGGAACAACTTATTTTTGAATTTTACCAAGTTTTATAAGCACATACAGCTATATAGCTATTCTTTGCCAACATTGTCAAAAATTTTCCTGAAATAATGTTTAAAAAAAAAACAAAAAAAAACTGATAAATGAAAAACATTTATATTTGATATTTAATAATTTTTAAATTTTTTTAAGTAATTCTATTATATTTGTTTTAAAAGATGTATAGTCTATTAGTAATTAAAATTAAGAATAATATTTTAAAATTCTAGTTCATTACAAGCCTTTTAGAAAAAATCTTTATGTATACAATGACAAATTTAACAGCAAAACAAAAGTGCCGAAAAACTTTTTGTCATTGAAAAAGTCCAGATGAAATGTGTTGAATGGATGTAATCATTCGTTTGAAAAGGCACCTCTACCCTATCTTGACTTAACCTCTTTGTGAAAGTAACTCGTATTTTGATACAATGGTTGTCAGTGAAAATAAATACCCTACTGCCCCTTGTTAAAATGATTGGATTTCCCCATATCCTTAGAAACTAATATGAAAGTATGTGCTTATAAAACTCAGTAAATTTCAAAATAAGTTATTCAAAAATTCGCTTGAAAATGAAACAGAAATAGGGACTTTAATTCTATAATTGAATTTGAAGTTTTTAGCTTCTGTTTTTGAAACATGGTAATTCCTGTGTAGTGATGGAACCATATTTTTAAATTAGTAAATTTATAATATTTATGCTCTGTAGATTTGCATTGAGCACCATTTTGTAAAAAGAAAAATATTAATAAGAACACCAGATTATCTATCTTAATGTTCTTTCTCTTTATTATTATATATATATTATTTATATATATATATATATATATATATATATATATATATATATATATATATATATGCCCAGACATGCAAATGTGTATACACATGCAAATATGTGTGTGTTTATCAATAAGTGTTATCACAACTTAATTGCTGTATCTTGATATTGAATTTTCAGTTTGTATTGTTTGCACAATCTGAAATCTAAACCCACATTTTTTTTGACATATCTAAACTTTAATTATAAGCTATAATTTTGGAAAGTGAAAATTTAGCAGAAATACGTTGAAATTTTTTCACAAGAAATCAAGAAAATAAAAACCTTAAGCAAAATGGTCACAATATACAGAAAAAGAAAAAAGGTATCAATTTAACCCATGTTCTCCTGGCATCAGTTTCATCTTCTTTATTCTATAGATTTAAACTTTAATTATAAACTATAAATTTCTGAAATTAATACAAGTTGAGAATCCTTTATCCAAGGAAGTGCTTTGGTTTTCAGATTTTGGAATACAGGCTATTTAATTTGTATGCAGTATGTATAAAATGGGTCAGCTTGGAAACATAAACCAAGAATAAACACACATCCTGGAGGTAATTTTATATTGGCAGATGCTTTATTACCACATACCTTTCAATATTTAATGTAATGCCTTTTTTAAATTTCTGTAACCAGTCTGCAGAATATTCAATTATCTTCACTATTCTGTTCACCATGTTTGATTGAAGTTTTACTGAAACTGCCAATGCAAACATTAACAAATTTTCTTAGTTAAGAAATATCTTAATTGCCAGTTGTTTTCATATGTACAAGGTTGTAATGAATTGTTCTCCACATTAGCTTGACACCACTAGTTTTCCATATTTGAACCTGATATTGTATAACTTTTGGTTATATTGTAAAGTCAGATATCATAAAGGTCTATACTCAAGTAATAGTTTTTGTTTAAGGGAGACAATAGTCACCACTCTTTACATAATTAGACAACATGAACAGTGACACTAATGTTAAGAGAATCTATTTTCATAAAAGAAACTTCTAGTTCTGGGTCATTTAGATAAAAGACTTCAAAAAGCTTTGATGTGGTCAAATGACCTTACAAGTCACGTGTTCTCTTTACCTCTCTTTATCTTATTTCTTTTGTTGCACACATGACACTAACAAGTTCAAATTCAACATTTTTTTTTTAATCACTTCATCCCAAACAAGGTGATAAAGCCACTAAGGTACAAGGGATTACTAAGAGTGAAAGAATCTGAGAAAAAACATTATTGAGGATAAAGGACAACAAAAGAATCCATGGAGACAGAAGATGATGACTGACATTGCATTTAAATTTTTGAAGATCATAATTTACAGGAAATCAAAATCCAAGAAATTTCCACAATCAAGAAGTGCAAGAAATTACTAGAATAGAACTTATGGTTACAACTAGTAATTTAAACAAAAAAATGATGAGACCTAGCTACTAATCTAGTATTGTTCTTCAATTTTTTATGTCAAGGTGCCAAAGAGGAACACTCAACAAAATTATTAGGAAACTGTTCAAATCAAGTACGACCGACATCAATCAACTGCTAAACATTTTTAGACCTTGACCTTCTGTCAAACAGAAATGGCAGGAGGTGAAAATCCTTTCAGTTATCCAACAAAAATGCACCTACATATGTATTTACATTCATAAGAAATAAAAGAATAAAAAAAAAAAAAATAAAATAAAAGAATAAAAAAAAAAAAAAAAAAAAAAAAGAATAAAAAAAAAAAAAATTTAAAAAATACCTTGCTATCGAGATCTAAACGAAAGAAGTCACCAGCTGCTTCTCCGACCGTCTCCAGTCGATCCACAGTGAGAATGATGTTTTTCCCCTTTCGCCGAACCAGAACATCATGCCATTGATGATCATCTAACATGCTCCCACCAACAAGTGTTGTCCCACCTCGGACTAAACGAGTTGAGCCTGCAATAAATTCAGATATAATGGGGTTTTTATTGTAACTTTTTTTTTTTTTAATTTTTTTTTCAATCTTCAGAATTTTATTTAAACCTCAAATGGATTTCCCACCAAATTTTTTTTTTTTTTTTTTCCTTACACATGTCCCCTGAAAGGGAAACCATTGTTTTGTTTATGTTTCATTACATGATCTCTTGCAAATGCTGATTCCATACCTAAACAGTTAGAAACAACCTGGTGTACTAATGGCCATTTATACTTCATTGGCAACCACAAACTACTGCTGATAATGTACAATAATAGTAAATTCCACTTTCAACATTTTTTTTTATTCAGTCTTATTCATTATTGAAAGTTTAGTGAAAGATAAAGATTGTTGTGAATGTTTATATTTTCTCATCTGAGATTACATGAATATAATTTGATTTCACAGATATGAAATTATTCTTTGAATAGGCAATTTATTATGAACTTATGCCAGTAATATATAAGGTAGAAATGGTTTTATTACTTTTAATATCAGTTTATTTGATAATGTGAATCTTTTCATGTACGTTATTGGTTATCACACCGAGACCGAGGTTAGCCTACTGACAAATGAACATTACTCAGAATTTAAGGTTTCTTTTTTAGAATTGTAGTATAAGTCGACCCACAATTTTTAAGGGTGATTTTGAGGATTTAACAGTCATCTTATATGTGGAAATATACAGTACTGGAAAATCTTTAGGAATGATACATGTGATATCAAGTAGGAAGATAAAGAAAAAAATCCAGTTATTCAAAAAAATATTTATGCTGGATAACGAAAGCA